ATAGCCTACTACTAAGATAACTAGAGTGGACTACTCTCTCTAATTAATAGAGCTTAAATTTCCTTACCCTATTCTTCTATTAGAATGTCTCCGTACCGAATTCTTTATAGAAGTAAACCCCGCTAGAGCTAGAATTAGAATTAGGATAAGTATACTAGTACTCTACTAGATAAGCTTAACTATACTAACGCTCTTACTCTAGCCACCTAAATACATAAAGCTTAGAAAATCGCTAAAGAATAAATAGAAAGAACCTAGGAATAGATGCGAACCGTAGTTAACCGGCATAGACACCCTATAGACTAGGTAGTAGGAGACTAAGTCTTCTTAGATACCCGCAACCTAGCTATAGATCGTCCGAGCCGAAAGCTATCTAATAAATAGGAAGGCCCGTTTAAGATACTAAGAAAAGTAGGAAATTCTTACTAACTCTAGCTACTAGAAGAGTCTTAGATCTACGACGTCTTTACACCAGAGCTACTATATAAAGATCCCCAAAATCCCCTCCTAGGACAAGAAGCACCTAAACCTTCTAGAATTCCTATCCGCAGCGTTAAAGAATAGGAAGTAGAAGAAATCTTAGCTAGTAAGTTATATCGTTCAAAGTTAAAATACCGAGTAAGCTAAGTCGAACATAATCCGGACCCTACTTAGTACCCTGCCTTAAACTTCATAGGAGCTCTCTATAAACTTAAACTGTTCTATAATTAAAACCTAATAAGACCAGAACCGCCCCGCTCCCTATTAAAATAGATTTCAGCTTAGAAATAAGGCACAGAAGATATAACTTTACTATAAGATAATTAAGTATAGGGAAAGGAAAAAAACTAGACTTTATAATAGGTATTAAAATAAAACCGAACCGAAACGCCCACGAAAACAACCTAAACTACTAACGATATAACCAACTACTTATACCTTAGACTTAGAGCCCTTAGCTAAGCCAGAGCCAAGGCTACAGCGATCCAACTCCGACCAAGACACTATACTCTCCTCCTCCTCCTCTTCCTCCGCCGCCCCACTAGGACGCGGCACTAGACCCTTCCTAGACGCCAATACAACCAACTCTATAGCCGCCACCCGGCCCTCTAAACGACGCAACCCATCCCAAATCTCTACTAAGACTTAGTAGCTAGCGGCTAAGAGACCTACTACTAACAACTTCTTCTCTTGGCTCTGAGTCACTTAGACCCGGCGAACTAACACTAGAGCAGCGTCCTCTACCATCCTCTAGGCAAGAGGCCAGTACTCCTCTAGCTCGTCGCTGGCGTTAGCAGCAGCCAAAAGATCTATGGCAGTAATAAAGACCGCAAACTCCTCCTTAATATACTCTAGAACCTATTAGAGTTAGATAAGTAAGAGATTAGATAATAAAAGAAGTAGCTTACAGAAGAGCACTTCTCTTTCTGCTAAGTGCAATAGTTATACTTCTTGGACCCCTTAGAGCTAAAACTATAGTTGACGCGGAAAAGGCCACGCGTAAAATAACGAAGTAAACGAAGATAGATAAGGTGATACGCCTCCGGCAACGCGCTAGCTAGGCAGCGAAGCGGTATAGTGTGTGTGTGTATAGAGAGAGAGAGAGAGGAGAGAATTTTATTATTGTTATAGGCAGAGAGCAGCGCAGCTTGTTAATATACTGTATAGGTAAACAAACGGATTAATATTACGTGCGCGGATTAATAGTACCTCCGCACTATTTTGGGCCTAGACCGCTGCCTAATAATATAATCTAAAAGGAGCAAACAATTTATAGTAAAAGCTCTTAACAGCTTAGGATAAGCTATTAGTAGAGAGGGGGGGTAGTGTAACGGCTTAGCACCCGTTCCTATATATATCCGAACAGGATCCGAACTAGAGTACAATTCAGCCTAGTAGGAAAAACAACTATATAAACCTAACCTCTATAATAGCTTATTAGATAGATTTTTAATATCCTTTCGTATAAGGCCTATAGGTGTCTATTTAAATTAAGGCTCGTTTAATGTCCNACGCACTCCCATATGCCTCTAAGTGACACTACCGCCAATACTAATCCAAGTAGTCTTGCCTGCGCCGTTACAATACTTACCCTATTAGGAAGTTTAGTACCTTATTTTATAGCCCTTAATCTAAGCCCTATTTTTACCTAATATAGCAGTAGGCTAGCTCTAATAGGTAAGAAGATATTTAGTAATCTGTCGTGCTAAGAGTTGGGTCTCTACATTTTACTCTAATCTTAAATAACGTCTTACCTATTCGAGTTAGCCTACTACTATTATAGATAAAAGAAAAGCTCTAATTTAAGGCTATAAAATAAGGTACTAAACTTCCTAATTAGGCAAGAACTAGTAGAGCTATTTAGGAGAAAGAGATCCTGATGTGGAGACCCGTTTACCAGCCTACACGGAGCTCTTTATACCATCTCGCTCGCTCTAACCTAGATTGAGCCTAAAGAAGTATCAGCACCCAACCCCGTGTAACAAATAATCTTATTAAATAAAGTAACTAGTAAAAAGGTATAATTTAAGTAAACTATAATAAGAGTAATAATAAAATCTCTCTATTCTTATATTCTTATTACTTTTAGTTCTACTATTCTATCTATTCTAAAACCTACTACTATTCAATACTTAGTAGAATAGTTAGTCTTAGTAGGATAGTATATTACGTAACTCTAGGCTCTATAATAATTATTATCTTCTAATGTAGGCGTCTGTGGGCCTTCGGCTGTCTCGTCTCTTGTTAAGGAGAGAATCCTTCTTGTTACTTGTAACATTGTCCTCTGAACGTAGTTCAGATGGCGCGAGCGTAGCTCAAACCGAGATTCCATCGAGGAGCTATCCAAAGGGCGTTCAGCCCGTTACAAGGATGGTTGGATCATAGTGTCAGCACAAGGGTCACGCGTGACTCTGTGCACCGGCACAATACGTATTTTAGTAGGGTATTGCATTGGCTGAGCTGTTGTACGCACTGATCACACGCAGTTACGCTAAAATCCTATGGTAAGCTGACATGCCGACACGTAGCAACAGACACTGAGCCGTTACAGTTATACTACTACACAGTAGAGACTGCTCTGGTAACAGCCGAGCTAAGCAACGAGCCGGCTCTTTAGCAAAGAGCCCTAGATACTCTTGTTATATCAATTCCTGAAGTTTTTGGGTTACAAGCGTGAGTTTCATGAATTGATTAGTATTGTTTCTGCCATCTATTATCTTTACAACTGTGTGGTGTATAGTGATTGCTTTTTCTTATTAACGAGGTGCGTCCTTTTTGCCGATTTGTATTATTCAAAATATGGTACACGTCATATAATCCTAGTGCATAGTTACGCGTCATCAATGATGCGCTACTTTGGCGAGTAGATAGTCTTCGACCGAATGTTTTCGGTCGACTGAGAGCCGCTGTTGCCTCAAGCCCAGGCGGGATCGCCATCACTGGCGTCTTAGCGTAAGTATAGACTTTTGCCGGTAATTAAAATACTTATCTACTATGCTACATGCCAGAAGTAATATAAGTAGGCCACTTGTAAGGGATTATTTTAACTAATCTAATTTCAGATAGTAATAAGAAGCTAGTTACTATTTAGTATAGCCGCCTTCAGCATCTATCACAGCTTACTACCTATCGCCTATCTTAGCTACCAGATTTCCTAAATATTCTAGAGTAATCTACTCCTAAGCTTCTATTGTAACATCGCGGAGATGATTATATAATCGTTACTACCTATTTAGGTAAAGATCCGTCCGACGGAGTGCCGGATTATCAGATTTTAGCCTCCCCACAGTATAAAACTTGTGACATGTAGCATAGTAGTTCCATTTGCGCCGAGTGGACGGAATGCTTATTTGCTGTACCCTCAATCTCGCGCCTCTTTTCGGAAGTACTATCCCAATATGTGAGAATGAAAATTATATAAATAAGTGAAGTTGATCGAAAACCACAGAAGCAAAATCATCTTGCATTCTTTCTACATCAACCATCTTTTCAAAGATATAACATTAATATCACCCACTACCAATGTCCTCTTTTTTACAGGATCAATATCGGGGCGAGCGAGACAAGCGACTGAATCGTAATGAAGGTGGCTTTGAACAATTCGTTTCCTTCGACAAAGTGCCGGAACTTGATACCGATCCTTGGTTTGATCATGAAACTGCGGCTGCCAATCAGCCCTTGCATGAAGGCTCAGAAGTGAAGTTGCTTATTGCTGGAGGCGGCGGCCATAGCGGTCTACTAACAGCAGTGAGAGTGATTGAGGCCGGATTTGACTCCAAGGATGTGGTTATTGTCGACAAAGCTGGAGGATTCGGCGGAACATGGTAAAGCCGCTTTTTGAGTATCTAGACAAAGGCTAACGAAGGAAAGGTACTGGAACAGATACCCAGGCGTGGGCTGCGACGTTGAGAGCCATTGTTTCATGCCTTTACTCGAAGAAACAGGGTATGTACCAAAGCATAGATATGCCTATGGAACTGAGATTCGTGAACACGCGGAGCGAATAGCCAAGAAGTGGAATATTCAAGCACAATTTGGCCACAAGATCACAGGCATGCGGTGGGATGAACCAACACGGCGATGGGAAGTCTCGATGCTCCAGAATCACAAGAAGGGCCGAACAACAGAAATTCGAGTGAAGGCTCAATTTGTTATGCCATCTTTTGGAATCTTTCCTATCCCGCAAATTCCCAAGTTGGCAGGTTTCAATGAGATGCGGCGAAATGTCAAGATACTACATTCCACTCGGTGGGATTACGAATTGACCGGTGGAACTCAGGCGCAGCCAGACATGTCAAAGCTGAAAGACAAGGTAGTAGGTATTGTGGGTACCGGTGCTACTGCCGTACAAATTGTACCTCAGCTTGCAAAATCCGCAAAGCATCTATACGTCTTTCAACGTACCCCATCCTTTGTCGGCTATCGAGAGCAATCAGAGATCACAGAAGAGGACTGGAAGAAGATTGCGTACAAAAAGGGCTGGCAGGCAGAAAGAATGATCAATTTCGATGCCGTTCTTTGCGGTGAAGGCACTGAAATCGATTTAGTCAATGATGGCTGGACCCGATCCACATCATTTTTTGCACTACAGGGGAGTGCTTCCGAGATCGTCACCCACGAAAACCTTGAGTATCGACAGGAGATGGTGAAACTCGATCTGGAAATCGGAGAAAAAAGTCGGGCCTATATTGCGAGCCAAGTGCATGACCCAATCACTGCATCAAAGCTGCAGCCATGGTATTATGGATGGTGCAAAAGGCCTACATTCCATGACGAGTATCTATCTACATTCAATAGGGACAACGTCACTCTGGTCGACTTGGATGGCAAAGGCTTGGAAAAATGCACTCCATTTGGGCCGGTTGTCAATGGGACCCCCTACGATCTTGATGTCCTAGTCTTCGCCACTGGGTTCTTTACGGGTTTGTCTAGTGCCCCTGGGGCTTATTGGCCATTCCCCATAATTGGGCGTGATGGTAAATCACTCGAGACCAAGTTTCGAACCAAGGAATTTGCAACATTACACGGTATCATGACGAGCGAATTTCCGAACTTGTTCGTGATTAGTCCTAGGGGTGGTGCTGTGAGTACCAATTTTACATCAGTCTTCGACATCGCTGCGAAACACATCGCATATATTCTACGCACAGCATTTGACAAAATCGACGATCCTAACAAAATTGTTGTTGAACCAACAAAGGAAGCCGAAGAGGGTTGGGGTGATGAGGTCGCCAAAAGAGCTGGACGGTTCTCGTTAGCTGGGCTATGTACGCCTGGCTACATGACAGGATACGAAGATGTGACGAAAACAACACCTGATGAGGCCAGAGTCAAGGCACGAGGAGCACCTTTCGGTGGAGGGTTCAATGGTTATCGGCGTGTCCTTGAAGAATATCAACAATCTGGAGGATTACCCGGGATTGTAGTTAGCAGTTAGATCTTCTGTGGATTGTAGAGGTTGTACGGGAAAATCAACGTCCCTATAGATCAAACTTTGGAGTCTCTTTATTACCATCTTCTAAATCAAGGTCGAGAGACACTACATCCTGAGATATTCGGTATCTCTTAGGCCAAAGAAGCTCCAGTTGCGTATAGAGGGTCTACGGCCCTATCTTAAACTCAGTTAATTCTTTAGGAATTTCAATGCTTCACCAGAATTAGTATGTTTCGTATGTATCCATTGAACAAGATGTTATGATTGGGGACATATCTCGTCTCGCAGTGACAAGCCTTTGAGGGGAAAACTCGAATTTGCGATGATATTCTACGGTGTAAAGGAACGACGCCGGCGCTAGACCGCGGGGCCATGGTAGACACGCAAATTCTCGGTCTACACATTCCCAAAGGCACAACTGTGCTGCTCTCTACTCAGGGCCCGAGCATCTGCAGCTCGCCCTTCCGTGTTGATGAGCGCCTTTGAAGAGAAACCTATTGTTCTAGGGTCAACAGCACAGTTCATGGTCGCTTGTGGGCTAACCACAATGCCGACGCTTTTGATCCCGACCGATGGCTAATCCGCTCACTAGAAAATAATGGTCGAGATGAGGAGTTGTTCAATGATACCTCTGATCCAAAGCTTGCTTTTAGTCTTGGTCATAGAGGCTGCTGAGGAAGGAGACTTGCGTACGTGGAACTCCGACCCAACCTTGCCCTCATCGTTTGGAACTTTCATCTTTCCCCCTGTCCATCCGAGCTGTCTAGCTACAGTTCAATTGTCGGCATCACAAGCAAGCCTAGGCAGTGCTATGTGCGCCTAACTAAAGTCGGTCTACAGTACTAAGACCATCATTTAGCTATTCTGAAATGGTATTATTAGCTACATGTGAGTGATGCGGCAATTCGAAATGGAGTCGGACTCAAGAGATACTAGTGCTTACACCCTACTAGGATAAGTCACACTAATACAATTCATATATACATATATAACACTTCCCTACGTTTACTCATCCGATTCGTGTTCGTTGATACCTATATGAACCGTCAAGAACCCTTGTTGAGACATTAATTTTGAATGCCCGCCACATGCTGTCCACATGTGATAGGTAACGAGGGTAGAAGACTGTTGTTAACGAGACTAAGTCGGGACAAAAATGTCTGTTGCTCATCTAGTAGGCGGGGTTATGAATAGGTGTGGAACAATCGAAATACTAGATCCCGGCTACCTTGCATCCGGGTATCGGTAGTGTCTGTTCCGTTAGCCGGTCTATTGCTACAATTTTACCCGACCATAAGCAAATCTACGCCCGCATGGATGCCATCCGAGTCTCTACTTCCGTAGATACAGAGGGATGGCATAAAACAACTTATTCTGAAAAAATAACTTTGAACTACTATGTGTAGTTACTACTTGGAGCTATTCCTACTTGGGTTGGTGATTTGAAAATCTAAGACGCTCTGGTAGAGTGGTTAACGAAGAGAGCGGCTGAATACAGTACACGAAGAGTTCTCGCAAACAGAGATACTCGCGTTCAAGTTAAGATGACTAAACCACCTGCCAGCCGATAGTAAATACAAAAGTGATCTACTCAGCGATGTGACGGTGGAAGGGATGAGCGCTGAGAGGAATGATTAGGCCCGCTGCTCTACGGCTAAGCATTCACTCATGGAGAATGCATCGCAGATATAGTGCTGTGCTAGGCGAGCTGGGGACAGCAGGCGTAGAGATATAACTTGGTGGTAGAGGGGCAAAGTGAAGAGATGGAGAGGTTAACTGCGATAATTCTTTATGAGTTAGTGTGCAACACATGTGTGATTGTGAGTGAGTCGTCGGGTCGTTGCTTGCTCGTAGCGTACCTGCTGTACGGATAGAAGACTGCAAAAAAAAGAGAGGAAAAAACAGAAGTACCACACCTATGCGAGTCGAACTGTATATCAAAAAGCCAAAAAAAAGATGACCAAACCTAATCTGCATCCTCTGTCTACTGCCCGGCCTACCTCTAGTGCTACAATCGCCAGCATCAACCTGGCGTAGAAGCCGCCACAAAGCAAGCAACCCTGCCTTGTTACGTACTATTCGATTGATAGTGCCCCAGACAGTAGACAGGAGCATTAATCGCAAAGAGACGAGCCCTTAGGGACGACAACCCTGTTCCCCATTCTTAGTTGATGCCGAATGGGGTCCTCGATAGACGCACGAGTGCGCCGTCAGTCTACTGTACGATAGGTACTAGGTTCGATGGCAAATTCGAGGGTAAATCAATAAACATGCTTGGTGCGAAGAGATTCGCTGCCAAACCCCAGAGCGCAATTGCTGCTTGTAACGAGTGATGACGGCAGCAGCGGTCCCAGAAAACGGTGCCATGCGTACCTGCCTGAAACCTTCACATTGCCTCGTTTAGGCTTATGGCCCAGTGTGCGCCAGTCGTCAAAGAGCCTTCACCATTATGTCGGTCTGCATAAAAGGGGCGGTGCACAGTCATCCAGCTTGACTGCGCCTGCTCGGCGTGCATCTCACGAGTCCGACAACCAGAAGGGAGACTCATAACATGGAATTGATGCCCTTTTGGAAGTTATTACACAATGTGATGATACTTTCCTAGCCCCTGAAATTGCCAGCTTCACATTTTTCTACCTCGCTATGCTGTTACTTCACAGCGACACCTTGGTAGGGGCACAGTAGCTTGCAAATGGAAACAAGTCACTGTTGTTCAGCAGTAGCCAGCACGTTGATCAACATGTCTCATCTACGCTATGTAATTCCATTCTTCTCAGCGTTGGATGATACATTGGCTGATCTCTTCTCGAGTGGTGCATCTTGTGCAAAAAAGTACTCATTCTGCTCAGTTGGATTATCCGTAACTCTCAATCCGTTCTTCACTTCAGCTCTTTCAGCTTCTGCAGCAACTCATCCATGCTGGACGCATACAAATCAAACTTGCCAAACACCTCGGTACACGGGTCATGTTCCTCGAATGTAAGGTAGGCTGTCTTGAACCCCGCCTTCCTCGCGGCAATCAGATCCCACGCGTGCGCTGCAACAAACCACCTCTCCCTTTCCCCTCGCCCTTGCAATCTCTTGGATATATGTTCATTTGCGTTCTCGTAAACTCGGACATCAGGCTTTGCAACTTGGATCGCATCACAGCTCAGTAGATGGTCAGCGTTGAGCTCAATACCAGCGCTGTGGTAGTAATTCAGCGACGTTTCTGATCCGCCGTTGGTCACACCATAGATTTCCCATGCAGCTTCCCTCAACCCATCGAAACATTTCTTGAGGCCTTCTCTTGGCCCCATGCTCCGGAATGCCTTCATGATCTCCTCGAGATCTTCATCTGTGACAGCATCGGTGGGTAGATCTACTACGGCACATGCGCGCCGGAAAGTCGATTTTAGAATTTGCGCAATTGGCACGTATGATTCGGTCATGGAGACGTATGTAAAGTCGCGCTGCGCAGCATAGAACCAGGAAAAGAAGAGTGTTTTTGGGTCCACATCGGCGGTCTTGAGTTTCGGGCCCAGACGGGAGTGAATGGCTTGGATTGGTGCAGAGAACCCGAAACAAGTACCTATCACGTCAAAGGATGCCGACCTCATCATTTTGGAGTTTTACAACTGTGATCTGGTTGCCGTTGTCGAGCGTTGGAGACTTTGTGTTGGGACGTTGTCGAGCGTTAGTAGCAGAACGGACCTCGGGAGATGTACTATCAGCGACCCTGTGACGTCAGGCATCATCAACAAGTAGCACCGTCATCTTTATTCCCATCTACTCTCTTATTGCTACGAGTGATAACCTTCGTCAAGTCACATGACACGTATAAAGGCACCATGGACCATATTCCTAATAGGCGCTTTGGCCCCCACGTACGATGTGTGGGTCACACAAGGGTCTAATTGGGGCTGAGGCGTTGGCCGCTTGTGTACAGCCTCCCGACATAGCTGTAACTCCCTAGGTAACAGCGTTGAACTTTCGCTCAGCTTTCTAGGTCTCAGCGCCAAATATCACCTCGGCCTTTCCGTGTTTTTCTTTCCTCCCACCTCCCCCCTCATTTCTTCTGCAAATCTGGTGAGACAGAACATGGCCTTCATGAGCAAGGCGGTGCTCCTCGCTCTCGTAGTAGCGTGGGGAGCATCCTTTTATCAAATCTATCTCAAAGATCTTCTTGTAGTTACCTTCGGTGTTGGTCGGGCGATGCAAGATATAGATGAGTTTCCGTATTCTTGCCGGCGTGTCGAGCATCCTAGGCTGGAGGCCTGTGAGGACATCTGGCTTGACGATAAGGGACGCACGTTGTATGCGGCATGCGCAGGAACATCAGGAAGGATGGCTTGGAACCAGGCGTAGGTCACATCATTTCCAACTGCAAAACCAGATCGTAGCTTGTCATCAGGGCTGATATGAAGCAGGATGAATCAAGTCAATGCGACTGGACGTCGAGCTGGGGGCTCTGAACTCATCGCTCTAGACATTGACAATCCTGGAGCGAATGGTCTCTTCAATCTTCGGTCTATCAAGCCAACCGGTAATTATAGAGGAGCCACGGGTAACATGGATCTTGATCTCCTCGGTTTCGACGCCCTCATCTTGGATGAAGATACTATCCAATTCTATTTTGTCAACCAGCGCCCTCCTGTTGGACCATCCAACGATATCATCGACGCATTCAAGACGGGCGATAACTCCACCATCGAGGTTTTCGAGACGAAGAGAGGCCAGGAAACCATGCGCCATGTCCGCACTGTCTTCTCGAGTGAAATTTGGACCCCGAACAGAGTTGCAACGTTAAGCGATGGATCGGGTGCGTTCCTCGTAACCAACGATCACTCCGTAAAACTCGGCCTGGTAAGTTCGAACCCCGTGTCTAGCACGTAGAAAACATCAGCACACAAGAAAAAAAGGCTAACAGAAAACCCCAGCGCCGTGAATTCGACTACTTCATCGGCGGCGGAAACGTCGCATACTGCTCTAGCACCGGACCCTGCCACTCCGCCTATTCTGGCAACGAAGTCGACGAATCAACCCTCAAGCCCACCGCCACGCCAGACTCCCCCTCCTACATGCCTTATCTCAAGCAGGCTCTAAGCTTCATCATCCCCAAACCAAACCTCAAATTCCCCAACGGCCTCACGCGCGGCCACGACGGCCTCTACTACGTCCCCAGCGCCATTGACGGCCAAGTCCGCGTCTTTGCTCTCGAGCCCCAAAACAACAACACGCTTCATCTTCTCAACACCATTCACGTCGGTATGCCGCTTGACAACATCTCACCCGACGCAAACGGCGATTTGTACGTCCCTGGATTCCCGAGCCTAGCGCAGACCGGCAAGTCGTTTTCCGATCCGTACAATGAGATTTCGCCCGTAACTATCTGGCGTATTCGCAAGACGGGGGATCAGGGTACGGAGAGTGGGAAGTACAAGGTTGAAAAGGTGATTGAGGATAAGGAGTCCAAGGTTTTGAGTGGGAGTACGACTGTAAGACATGATGTCAAGACTGGACGACTTTTTGTTAGTGGTAAGTTTGATGCTGACTTGGCGTTATTCTTGAAGATCTTGTGCTGACTTGATGTAGCTGCTGTACATCCTTTTCTTGTGGTTTGTGAGCCGCGCGAGTAAAGTGTGGCGGGTGTATAGAGAGTAACGCGTTTTGTTGTGCGGTAGTGCAAACGCTGTGCGATTACACAACCAAATAGAGTCACGAATTATTGGATTCACATTTGAGGGGAGAAAACAACATCTATGGCTGTATATTAACTAGTCAGATTAACCTTGCACGACTCTATCCTTGCCCCAATCTACCGCTTAATCAACCCCTTAGCCTCAGCCACTGCAACCGCCTCCTCGTTCTTCTTCCGCTGCGCCTGCAGCTCCTCTTCCTTCTTCCTTGCAATCTCCCTCTCCAGCTGGTCTGGACGCCTAACCGCAATATCCTTGGGCTTGTTATCCGAGAAGAAATATTTAAGGCTCTTCTCAATGATGTAACATGCAACAAAGTCAAAAGCCATGGTGGTAGTAATCATAATCTTGAAGTCGGTGGTGAATGGAACCAGCTTAAGCCTCTCGTTCAGTTCCGGGATGAACTCGGTAGCGCAGGAGAATGCGACACCAGAAACGGAAACAAGACCCCAGTACATGCCCTTGTTTTCGCGGATGGACTCACGGAAAGGACGGCCCTGGTAGTTGATGGCAAAGGTAGAGATTTGCTGAATGAGCTGAAGTAGATAGATGGCCGAGTTGAGGAGCGATGGCTCAAACTCCTTTTCCAAGTCTGGATTTGGATCTTTGGGCTCGACGCGTTGCACATATTGGCTGACGTAGATGAGAGTGATGATATGAATGGCAAACTGGCCCAACACGGATCCAATAATGTAGGTGTTGAAGATATTCGACTGCGGACGTTCCTTTGACAGAGCCTCAACAGTCTTTGCGCGAGAAATGGAGAGGAAACAAACGCTCATCATCATTCCTGAGATGGTGACTTGACCATCGCCAAATTTGATGCCATCAAGGTAGAGGACTGATAAACTGTAGGCAGAGATTAAACAGTTGAGAGCAAGAATCTTGTACATCTGAATTGTGGCAACAAGCGTGCAACGACCCTGACGGATGATGTTGGGGATGGCGACGACATTGGCAAGCTTGGAAGTAAAAGGTGCGGCAACAGAGGCATCACCGAGCTTAATCGTCGGAGGCTCACCAGCAAGCTCTTCCATTTCCTGGGCCATCATCTTTTCTTGCATTTGCTGGGCAAAGTTGGTAGCGGTTTGAGCAGGTTGGACCTGACCAGGCTGTTCAGTGGGAGCGGATCCATTGGCGGCAGGGAGAAGACCCTTCTTCTTGGCTTGAGCCTCCATTGCCTTCTCGTAATGTGGGTTGGTCGGGCCTGGTGGGTACAGATGAGCGATCATGATCGGCACAGGAGGCTGAGGCTGGTTGAAGCGCTGCATGAGATTGCACTGCTTCTCGTAGACATTCTTCATCTGCGTATTGCGGAAATGTTCACCGATCTTGTCGAGATCCTCACGGGTACCGTTGAGAAGAGCAACGCCAATATGAGCCTGCTTCAAAGCACCAACATCGTTGGTACCATCACCAGCCATGAGAGTAGTGTAACCACGATCCTTGAGACCAAGAAGAATCTCCTCCTTTTGCTTTGGTGAAACACGAGCGTAGACCCAGGTGTATCGCAGGATTTGGTTCCATCCAGGCTGGCCAGTGAATTTGGACAGCGCATATCCAGTAAGACATATATCTTTTGTTTTCAAGATCTCATCGTCTAGCGGCTTAGTTGGGTCAACAGGAATACTAAGCTTGTCGTCGACGCTACGCCAGACAAGCTTCTCGCCAGAATCGTCATTTTCAGGTGCGTCAAGGATATAGCATTCGCGATCAACGATCTCCACCTGCTTAGCGACGTGGACGGCAGTAAGGGGATTGTCACCGGTAATCATGACAACACGGTGGCTGGACTCATTCAAGGAGCGAACAGCCTCGATAGCATCAGGCTTGAGAGGACATTGAAGTACAAGGAAGCCGGCAAAGTGTAGGTCAGATTCAACCTGCTCACGTTTGAGGTCGTTGATGCGATTCTGGCCCCATTCTCCGTCGTCAGATAAGAACTTGTATGCCAGGGCCAGTACACGGCCACCGTTACGGGTAAAGTGCTTGAAAGTTTCCTCATAGTGTGGGGGTGTGTTGACCAACATCTTGCGGATGGTCTCGGGCGCACCCTTGACCGCAGCGATTGTGCTCTTAACCTTGCGTCCAGTTTTGTTGTTGTTGACAAGGACGGTAGCCACGGAACTCTGGCGCTTGAGGGCGGACGAGAATTGGAAACGACGGCGGATTTGAACAAGTTCGGCGTGAGATCTGGCAGTAGTGGTTGCCGCTTGGAGAGTATCTTTGGCTCCGAGCTTCCAGCCAAGGGATTGAAGGGTAGCCTTTTCCATGGGCTCACCCACAGTCTCGCCATCATCAAGCTTGACTAAGGCATGAGCAGAAGCAAGTACCAACGTGGTCTCGGTGCCAACATCTGTAACCTTCGCGAGATCTGTATGTGCACCATCTGGTGCGACCGTAGCGCCACTCTGTCCCAGAGATAGTCCAGCAATACCATCGACAACCAGGTCTTCACCGGTCAAAGTACCAGTCTTGTCGAAACAAGCCACATCAACCTGACCAGCAAAGGGAATACGGAATGGCTCGGTACAAAAGATGGCATATTTGCTGAGCGCAGCAAGAGAAGTGTTGACAGCCAGACTGAGTTCCATGGGGAGTTCCGGAGGTACGACGCTTGTAACAATGAGAACACAGTCGAGGAGGAGCTTGTTGCGCTGGCGGTCTAGCCTAACACCCTCTTGCCACACATACCATGAGGCGGCGACGGCAAAGACGGTAAGGAAGAGGATGAAGAAAAGGGCTTCGACATTGTTGGCGGAAACACGCTCTGTAGCGAAGATCATGGTCCTGACAAGGCTTCCCTGGTTTGTCTCGAACCCAGTCTTGACTACGACAGCAACGGCGCCCTTGTCCGGCGGTGGTGGGACGCCAGATGCGAGTTTTGGGACAACAGCACCATCTTCCTCAATGTTGCTTCCATGTGAGACTTGCAGAACCTTGGTGCCACCCCAGAGAAATGAGTTCTTGTCCAGACCCTCGGGCTCGATGCGCGCATCGCCAGGTCGCAGCTGTACGGATTCCTTGAGCACAGGAGTACTCTCTCCTGACAGCATAGCCTCGTTAACGATGGCCGAGCCTTCGAGTAGGAGCATGTCGCATGCGACGCCAGAGTCTTCCTTGGTCCTGCCCACGCTGACAACATCGCCCGGAAGCAACTTGTCGCTCATAATCTCTTGCCATCGCTTCTGTCTGTATGCCAAAATCTCGTAAGGCTTGATGCTCATGCCACGGAACTCATTCAGCGTTCGCTGTCTCTGCCACACAACGGTGCTCTCGAAAACCACCAGCATGAAGAGTGTAAAGAGGGAGTAGTACCAGTATTCATCGAGCATCCACAGTCCAACGCAGAAGACCTGGAAGACGAAGAAGGGTGCGACAGCATGTTCCTTGAATAGCTCGGTAAATGTGGGGACGGGGATATCGAATGCGTTGTCGCCATAGTGCTGCTGCAGACGCTCGATCTCTGCGGGGGAGGTAAGGCCCTGTGCCTGCTGGAACGTCTTGAGCTGCGGCTTGGGCTCGGTATCGAGGGCGTAAGCGAGCGGGGCGAAGGAGCCCTTTTCGGCGTCGTAGAGGAAACGTCGCTTTTGGAAGAGGAAGGAAATGTTGGGCTTCCCACCAACGTTGTCGCGGACCAACTTGACAATTTCGGCAGCGCCGGCGTTCTTGATGGGCTGCACTTTGATAAGCTGAGCGCTGCGCACGTCGCTGGCCGAGGTGGTGGTGAAGGCGCTCTTGAGGTTAACGTTCCAGTGCGTCATGAGCCAGAACAGCGACTGGAACGTGGTGATAGTGGCAATCCAGACAAAAGTCCATTCCGACGACTGGATGTACTGTTCGTAGCGCTGGGGCGAAAAGTATATGGCCGAGAAGGCTGGCCATATTATCAGAAAGGGCCAGATGTACGTGTGCAGCTGCAATGGCAGCGGGTTGTGCAGGCTGGCCTGCTTGATCTGGGGGTTGTCGACAAGCGGTGCCATCGTTGGTGGTGTCGTGTCCAAACGAACGTCAGTCTTTCAAATCCGAGTTTAATGCCCGCCGCAATCGCCATCGCGTGGGCGTCGGCACTAGTTTTCCCGACCCACGTGTCGAGGAACTTCACTACCAGACGCCCGATGTGGACTAGCGCAAATCATACCCTGCAGTCAATACTTATACTCACTGTGCAATCAAAATTACTTAAGACAGATAGAACAAGATTCTTTGGTCGTAGTTCTTGGGAAGAGCCAACACGACCAATATCTTCTACGCATCATGGTTAGATGTGTCATTTGTCCATCTTCGATGTGCCCATATTCAACCTTGCATATGCCCTGCGTGTCTTCCTTAACAGCTCCAGCTGACATTCCCATCACTGTAACTAACTACACCGTCAGATCTTCCCATATCTTGTCTAGTTTACGATTGAAGAAAACATCAATCCAGGCTATATGTTGCATGGCATCTTCCAGCTCAGCCTGGCGTTCAATCCCCAATATACCACACATGTCAGAAAGCTTCGAAATCCACCAAGCGCGATCTTCATTAGATGTTACAACCGAACACGCCACGACCAACACCCAGACTAGCATCTTCAGGTTCTTTTCGCGTCCCCATACCTCTACTGCTGAAGTAGCGGGTCGATCAATGGCGACGCGCAGCCGACCCAGGAGAATGGCGAAGATCTTTGCATTGGCCGGCAGTCCCCGTAAGGCAGTATATACGAAGATGAGCGTTGCAGCGAGAAGACCCTCGACCACACTTGCTGCATCTGCCTTCTTTCTTTGGTCCTCTTCGCCCTCGTTCCTGCAGGCTTGAACCTCTCTATCAAACTCGATGAAGTCGCGCGATCGATCAGGGACAGAGAGAATAATGTTTTGCATGTGGTAGAGAAGGTTGCTTAGTGTAAGCCGGGAGACCTTTCCAGACCAATGTGAGGACATTGCTAGGGAGATTCGATGTAAGCGGTAAAAGATATTGAAACACTCTGTCGCAGCAAGGGACAATTGAAGCAGCGATGTGGGTGATTTATATGCTGCTTCTTCCATGAGTTCATCAGGTAAGAGGGGTGCATCTGAATCAAGGCACACAAGCGGGAATGAGGGCGGTGTCCGGAAAGCCGCAGCTGTATGGAAATCTGCCCTAATAATGTACGACTCAGCAACTAGATATCTTTTCTTGTGTACTATGAACTCACCATAAGATGCCCCGTAGCAAACCATCGTTGTGTTCAATCGCGTATAACCCACCTCTCGCAGTCAGCATTTGATTTAGAGCCATTAAATGCATCTGAGCGGTATCATATGCTCCGAAAAGATTCTGATCATAGTCAGCAGATGTACAATAACCAGGACTAAAGACGGAGTCTGACCTCAAAACTTGCAAGTATCAAGACAGTGCCAATAACCTCGTCTGAGACGACTCCATCAGGCTCCATGAGCTTGGAACTGATGGCGCTGATGGCGCCACTTTTGTGCTTGAGATGACAGCAATGTAGCTCACTAAGACCCTTTGCAAGCACTCCGTATATTGCCCACGTTGCCAGAGTAGCATGCAAAAGGCCAGCGTCATGGATGGTCCAGGTTGGCCATGTGTTCTTTGCGTCAATAGCAATAGAATTGGTTTTAGGTGCGCTTTTGTCTAAGGGAACGTCAGCATAAGAGGTCAACTTAGACATGCGTCCCCTATGAACGGAATTCTTCTTCCAAGTCACACGTACATAGCTGAAATAACATATCGAACTGCGGCGTCCCTGGTATCGGCAAGATGTCAAAAGGATCGATACGATGAGCGCTTGGATCTATCCGTAACGTGGGAATTTTCAACGCCGGTTCGATTGTTCCTTCTCTCAATTTTTCTTTTGCATTTTTTGCTGTATAGCATCCTATTCCTGTCATTTGATCCATGACATAGTTCTCTGTTGTACCTATGGGCGACGAACGTCTTTTCCCCTTGCTTTTACCTTTCCCATTCTTCAACATAAGTTTTCTGCCTTTGGTAGTATCTTCGCTTTTTGATCGTTGGATTCGGAACCGATTGCTTAGTTGATTTCTTGCCATGACGGTGGTTGCTGAGCTTTGCTCTGGAATATCCACCTGCGGCGCAGTTGTCTTCGTATCGAAGAAGTTGCGCATAACTAATCGACGAATCATACCCCGTTCGGCTCCGTTTGGCAGATGTGGTTTTGTTGTCGTCACGAAGAATTCGTATTGCCGTGCCATGGTTGTGACTGAAGTGTTTCTTCTCTGCAGCTGTTCTGGCGGTGAGGAATCACTGGCCAGATTCGGGGTACTGTTGTTTGACCGATTTGGTGCATCTACCATCATGGAAGTCGATATTCTATCTGGCTACAAGGAAAGACATAACCCAGGGTACAATAGAAATTACAAGGTCAAAACGGTGTGCAAATTGCCACTAAGACGGATGCTTTCAGTCGATGTCTAGTCGCTCCTTTGGCGAGGATGATGCGCGAAACCCCGAATCTGATATTTCCGACCAGAGTCATTGGTGATGATGAGAAACGGGTCGTATTCGTGGCGACAATGGATTATCTAAACATCCGGTTGATTATGGCAGCGAGGTGGGCTTGAAGGGCGTGCAAATTGACTCGTGATTGGAGAATAGTTTATATGCATAATGCAGCCTCGGAAAGACCCGAATTCAAGCTTCGCCAACTTCCGGAGCGTTGGCTGATGATTCAAGTCAAAAAGGGAGTATCGTAAGCGATAGCCTTTCTTTGGGTTCTTTTTTTTTTAAGAAAAAAACTAGTCTGCGACTTGTGTTAGTTAACTTTAAAGTCTGCACATCATGTATTCAAATAGATTCTTGTTCCTTTCCATGGAACAGCGTAATGCGCGCAGCTGAACAGCATGACTGATGGTGATGCAGTTTAACTGGTCACGAATGGTGGCACCACCTTCGCAGAACTGAGTCTTTTTTGGGAAAAAGATTCCGTTTAGTAGCAACCCGGGAGATGGCTGTACGGCTGTAGACAGGCGTCGAAGCCAGTGGCCAAGCTGACGCAGCAGAGCTAGTAGTAGTGTCAAGCCAATGATACTGCTACCCTCATTTGGCCCCCACACACTTGTGGGTATACGCTGAAGTTGGAGCAGCGATGCAAATATATACTAATCTCTGGGAACCATTTGATTTGCCAAGAGGTGCAAGGAAGAGAATGTTCGAGCAACAGTGTCGTAATTTCTAACCAACAGCCTCAAAAGACAGGAGGCGCACTAAGCAGCGAAGCTATTCCTTTCACTCCCGCAACGCCTCCTAATTGCATGTCCACTGCGCTCGGAGCTCTAATCTATGTTAAACACGGAGATCCTAAACGCTCATTTCCCCTTGTCCTCCCTAAGGCTCACAATCTGATTGAGCATAATATTATTCTCCGTTGAATCGATGTCAATACAGAAGTAAGCCGTGCGCAGTGCCTGGAAACGCACAAGAGCGTCTGAAGAACCGCTCAGATCCAATGAAGTCTCACTGATGAGGTTTCTGATACCCTTCTCGATGACGGCCTTGCTGTAGATGATCTCGGAGTTCGGGTTAAGATCGTCCGCCCAACCTCCCGTTTTCCAGTCTAACGTATTTGGAGACTCAGTTTTGAAAAGCGAGTTGTAAAGACGTGCAGTGACAGGGACAGCAGTTGCTGCATCCACCCACTGAATATACGCTTTTGGCTTCTCAGTGGCTGGAGCTTTGACTACTTTGATCTCAGTGACATTGCCGTTTTCGTCTTTGGAGAAGGATCTAGCGCGGATCGGAAATGGCACGTTGTACAAACCAACAGCTTTGTTGGGTGCCAGACGGAAGTAGTCTTCACTGTCTTCCTCTCTGAAGTCAGCGCGATCTATGTAGACTGCACTGCCAACCTTGACTTTTCGCTCTCCTGGAATCGTGCCCTTTGGGTCGTATGGCACAGTAAGCTCCTGCTCGTCCTCGGCAGCAAAGTCTTCGATGATGACCTTAATGGGATCAAGCACTAGCATTTGGCGTGGCACAGTTCGTTCCAGATGCTTCCTGATTGAGGCTTCGAAGCGCGGAGGCTCGATTTCAGAGAGCGCATCTGTGACGCCGAGCTCGTCGACAAAGTTGAGCATAGCCCTGGCTGGAATACCGCGACGACGGAGAGCAACCATGGTAAAGAGGCGAGGGTCATCCCACCCTCGCACCGCTGGTGGGATCTTCTTTGTCTCGACTGTACCATCAGCATTCTTCTTCTCGACCTCTGTTCCCTCAACGAGCTGAAGGATGCGTCGCTTCGACAAAATTGTACCACCAACACTGAGACGGCCGAATCTACTATTCTTAGTAACAAAAAACGTAGAGAGCAATAAGTGCACTCACTCTCTTTGCATGGGGCCTTTCTCTTCTGACTTGGGGATCTTCATGTCCAATTGCTCCAGCAGCCAGTCGTAAGAAACACGAGACTGGCGGAATTCAACAGTACACATGGAATGAGTAATGCCTTCCAAAGCATCACAGATGCAGTGGGTAAAGTCATATGTAGGGTAGATTCTCCACTTGTCGCCTGTCCTGTGGTGGTAGTTTTCCTTTACAACGCGATAGGCTGGGAGATCCCACATCTGCGGGTTGCCCTCGTCTGGATCCGTCAACTTTTGCTTCATTCGGAGGAATGCCTCTCCGGCCTTGTATTTGCCGTCGCGCATTGCTCGGAATTCGGCGATGGACTCTTCAATGGGTCGCGTGCGGTGCGCACAGGCATAGCGTTTACCGCGGTTGTCGGGTCCGCCACGCTGGTTGTTGATTTCCTCTCCTGTATGCTGGTCAGATTGGGAGCGTTTGGGTTTTCGCGGTTAGACATACGAGAACAGTGGCAGACGTATGCGCCGTCTTTGTTAATTAGCTGTTCTGCCAGCTCGTACAGCTTGTCAAAATTGTCGCTGCTGTAGGTAATCTTCCAGGGCTCAAATCCTAGCCACTTGACAACGTCCAGGATCGCCGTGAAATAGATCTCGTCTTCCTTCTCGGGGTTGGTGTCATCGTAGCGCAGATAGCACTTGCCGTTGTGGTGTTTTGCGAAACCAAAGTCCACTGCAATGGCCTTTGCGTGTCCAATGTGAAGGAAGCCATTGGGCTCGGGCGGAAAACGAGTGCGGACTTCTGCGACGGGCTTCTCTTCATAGATGCGCTTCAGCCAGCCTTCGGAGAAGATGCTGGTAGGCTCGCTCTTTGCGCTGGGCTTTGCCTGCTCTTTGGGTCGTAGGGCATGCTCAGCCTTTTTTGCCTTTGCAGCAGCCTTTTTCGCGGCCTTTTCAAGGGCACGCTTGGAGGGGCCCTTCTCCTCCTCTTTGGGTGGTGGTGCGGTAGCTGAGGATTCAGCCATGTCTGCGCGATGTAAGGCCTTTGCTGGTATTGAAAGGATGTGATCGGGATGTTGTCAGGGAATTCTGGCCAGTGGTGATACTGACTGAGTCATATGAGGTCCGCGTCAAGAGTGGCAACCTACCTGCTCAGTGGTGTGTGGGCTACAATGCAGCTCGTGTGCAGCTTGGAGGGGCTCTATCAACAGTCTGGAGGGGCACTTGAGTCAAACACGCTAGTGGTAGCCTCACCAGCCACAAACGCCACACTTGGCCGTTATCGTTACATCCCGATCTTTTGTTACCGTTCCTCTACATTTAGTGCATCGACATCTGTTTGGCTTGCTTGCAGGTTGAAAGAGACGGATTCTTGCACAGCATACGTGGCAGGAATATCCAAGTTTTGACCGTAGGCTGCTTGCCGCGAACACCACTACGCTAGCACGCTGGCATATGCTACGTATTTTAGCTTCACTGAGAGATGTCTCTCCATCACCTTTGCATACGCATGACTCATATAGTAATTGTCAGAATCCATTCAATCACCCAGGTTTTATTCCATATTTTCGGCTCTTCAAGCTACTTCTTGAAAAAGTATGTGTGAAGAGACTCTTGAAATGTCACGTATCCGCAATCTGTGTAACGATGAAATGTATACATAATGGCTGATTGATCTCCCCGATGCTTGAAAAACTGTAACAAAATCTTTTATGAAATGCAGATTTTTGAATACTGGACAAACAAGTCATACTCATGCAATGCAAACCGCTAAAACCAATACTCCTATTCCGGAACTTATTCACCAATCTACCCAAATGCCATAAACAAGAGTCGAACCTCTCGCTGACCAGAGACAGAGAAGGAATCACCTTCTCCGTTCCCATCATTACCAACCCCTGATTACCGAAGTGCTGGGGCATGAGCTTCCCAAATACGCAAACAGCACCGTAATCGACACCGCAAACATGATCCAGCACATGCGTGAATGTGCACTAATTCTTGCCTCAGCATCTCCAGTCTTAACAGCCGCTATAGCGGGGAATCTACCATCTTGGCTTCTAACCAACCCAGAGCTCCAAAGCGAATACACAGCCCTCTCAGACCGAGCCCACTATTAACCTTCCATCTACGCTCACTTTCTTACAGACACCCAGGGCACACCGCCAACACCGAACCAGTACCTCACCATCAGCAACATGGTGGAGGACTACCTCGCTAAAAACACCATCTCGCAGCACGCATGGCACGTAGATAACATGACGCATCCACCCGTGCCCCAGGACTCCTCAAATAATGGTCACCGCAAGTACCTCCATACTGCTAGTATGAGGTCATGCTCAGCAAAGCGCTCAGAAACCCTCCACTGTTTCTGTGCTGCCGTCCACCAGCGCTGGCTCGACACTCCGGCTTCCCTGCGGGGCACGCCTTTTACCTTTCCGCCCGCTGAAGTCGGATACTCACGCCACTCTCACTGTCGACTTCGCCAGCACAGCCTGCGGCAGTCGTCAAACTATATTATGAATCTTTTCGAGGACATATGTAGCTATCTGCATCGGATCGGGGTGTTTGAGCAGCAGTTCAGCATGCATGGGTACATTATCTTTTTGCTGTTTCGGGCAAATCAGGCTGCTATTGCGGAAATATTTTGCTCCGGGCTGCTGCAGGTATGGGTGGAGGGTGGAGGCGGATTTAATGCATGTCCTGCGGGAAGGAGCGTGGCTACTGCGAAGCGGGTGGATGAGGGGGAGTGGGCGGGCTATGAGCGGTGGGTGAGAGAGGATTCGGGTGCTGTGGAGAATATGAGGGTGCAGCGGCAAAGGGCTGAGGAGTGGCGGATGGCGCTGGAGTGGGAGGATGAAGAGGGTAAGGAGAGGCATGGTGATTGTGTGTAGGTGGTGTATGTAGGGCTTGCTTTACAAGCGATTATGTGACGAAGTAGTATGAATATTTGTTAGTTATATGTTGAGCTCACATGCAGTGCTGCTCTCTTCTCTCACTAATGCTATTCAACTGTCTCCAGCAATGTGACTATCATTGTTTAATTCCCTCATACCATTGTGCCTACTGGAACATGCCTTTATCCTATCCTGCCAAGGAGCTTCCCATTGTTCAATAATCAATTAGTAAAGTCCAAGCAAACAGCTCAAAGTCACTCGCCAGATCGCTCTTTCCTCACCTATCCTACCGACTCTCAGCTCTATACCCATACATTCGCTATATCTCTCCTCTAATCTCCAACTTTTCAATTTAACAAGGCTCTGAAAGAAAGGCTGATCCATCAACTCACCCAACATCATCTCCCAAAAGATGTCCTCAAACCCACCCACCAACACCACCAAACCTTTCACCACCACCACCGAACTCCACGACTTGGGCGCCACACGCTTCGACCGCGACACCGCCGCGCCCTCAGACCGCGATACCGCGCTCCTCCACCGCCACGCCGTAGTCCCCGTCATCACTCCGCAAGGCCGTGCACCACCCGGGCTAGAAGCTAAAGTGCACGAATGGACGACGTTCCAGTTTACAACAGAGGATTTGGATCGCGTGGAGGAGTTGAAGGGAGATCTGCATGGGGGGATGTTGCATCGTGTCAATAGGGCTGCGAGGGGAGAAGTTACTGGAGGTGCTATGATAGGGAATCGAGGGAGAGGAAGTAACAAAGAAACGGCTCAGGAGACTAAGCTTTGTGGGGGGAGGGAGGGGGAGGGGGACGTGGCACCGGTGGCTAAGGGCATGGCGGAAGAGATGGGAAAAGATATGTTTTGGAGCGGGCCAATTGTTTGAGGCCTGGATTTGGGGGCCGGGGAGGGAAGTGGGTAGTTTGAAGTGGGAGTTTTTGAGGGCTGAAAAGGGTCTGAGTCGAAGTTGACCTGGTTTACATGCAAGGTCAGTATGGATTGACAATCGGAAACTAACTGAGGATATGAATGCATGGATGCACATCCCACATACTCAACACCAAGTAGAGAAAAAGGTCCCTGTACACCGTGTCGGTGCCTCAAGTCTTTTTGAAATGTCTATGCACGAGGCCGCACAGGCTCTCCCACAGGACCTGGTCCTTTCCCTTGACCCACTCGACTACCACCTCCCTTGCCAAGTCGACAACCCTGATTCTGAATGCCAGCTTAACTGGCCTTCTTCCGCTCTCGTCTTCAGTCCCTTGCATCTCATCAACACCACCCCCTTCCTTCGCTCTTTTCTCGTACATGCGTCTATAAGATCGACTCCACACGTTTTGCGCTGCTTCGCCGATGCCAGTACATGTGGAGGAGTCCCAGTTCCAGCTAATAAGATCAAGCGAAGTCATCTGAGCGGTGATGGCGTCCTTGGCCTGCTGGGGGTCGATCGTGGGAGGTAAGGTGATGGGATAACATGTTGGAAAGGGGAGGTACTCGTTCGCCATCTTTTCTATGCGGGCATGACTCTATGGAAGTTTCAGCATCAGCTTCATTGACAGATTTTGCAATGGAGTGAATGGTAAAAGAGAAATGTATCAGTTGTATGGTGAAGATTAGGATACATACATTTCTCGGTCGCAGATCCCCAAAACTCCATGCTACGATCCACCGCTTCGTACCACTTGCTCCTGCCTCGATCACGCCCACGGCCCAGTTGGTAATTCCATTCTGTTTTAGCAGGCGAATGATGGCTTTCGCGCTGTCCATTTTACCAAATAAGCTGCTGTACCATTGGACCTTTTCTCGAAGCACAAGACTCTCGTTAACAATAGCAGTCACGAAACCAACATCGCCACCAGGAGAGACCATTTCGTTTTCAGATCCGGTACAGATGGCGTTGGGCTTGCTGCTCTTGCCCTCGCCTGCGAGACTGGATCGCATTTCAGAAGGGGTTGTGAAAAAGGGTGGGTTGCATATTGTAAAGTCGAGATGGGTGACACCAAGGGCAGCCAATGGAATTAGAGTGGTGAGAGCAGTAGTTTGAAGGAGCTTTGTACGTGTCATCAAGTTGTTGAGAGCAAGGTTGCGGGCGGCTGAGTCGAAACTCTTTTTATCAATGTCGGTAGCGCACATGGACCAGTTTGGGCGCGACCGCAGGCATAACATGGTGTATATGGCAGACGCACCGGTTCCTATATCTAGTCCTTGTACGTGGCGGTTGGGGTCATATTTGTTTGAATAGTCTGGAGATGTAGAGTCGATCAGGCCTTGTATCCAGGCGACATAGTTCCAGCGATTCGGTATTGGCGGGCAGAGGCGGTCATCCGGAACGTCGAGTTCAAGGCCAAAGTCTGATTTCAGAATTGCCTTGGATAAGGCTTGAACAGTGTGTGGATCTTGAAAGTCGAGCTTGCCTGAGGCGCGCTGCCATATCTGCTTGAAGTCATTGTCGCTTTTGGCAAGCGATTTGAAGTCGACTGTGTCATACGGGGGCCGCTGCTCGAGAAGCATTGGTATTGGGGATAGGTAAGTGTGCCAGTGAGTGCAGGAATGGAGTCGAGCATGTGAGATATGCAGAGAGCAAAGTTGGGTGTTGGGTGCACGGACCAAACCAGCCTGATTGGTGGTGACTTTGGTGAGGGAGTGATTGAAGGAAAATAATCTTTAGTGCCAGACACTCTACAATTGATATACAAGAATATGAGAATAGCGTTGCCGCAACCCGTATGTGCACCTACCGCTGTCTACCAAACGCCGTGCCGAATACCGTCATATCAGAAAAGGCCCATCGTAGGCTCCGTCTGGCTCTTGGAGGCGGACTGCTTCGAGCGAGGGAACAGTGCCTGGCTTATAAAAGCCCAGCAGCATTTCCATGTCTTCTTCAGTCATGGCGCAAAGGTCGTCGAGCGAGTATTGTTCGCAGACTTTGGACATCCTGTAACGGGGCTGGGTAAGCAAAAAGACGGACGGGAGGTCAGCCAGGGCAAGTCACGTACCACTGCATGCGCTTGGGGCCTTCTTCTATGGCGGGCGCAACCTTTCTGAGCTTCTTTCGCAACATGCCGACTCTCTGGACAGCATTGCCAATGTTATGAGGGAGGCCAGCGGCGATCTGTCTCCTGACAATGTTTGCGAGCTTGGGCCCGTTGCCATTGGTGCTGACCATGATTTGCAGAGGCCCGTCGCGGTGGACACTACCAAAGTAAAAGTCGCATTCGGGAGGGACGTCTGCGATGTTTGCAGCTATGCGCCTCTCCTTGCACAGCTTGTAGATCTGCGACGAGGCCTCTGGGTCATCCACTGCAGTCAGGACCATGTCAACACCGTCGAGATCCGAGGGCTCGAACTTGCGGTCGACATAATCGACCTGGCCCTGGTCGATGCGATAGGCGACCTCGTCATTGAGGCCTTCGCGGGGGGACACGACGGTGATTTTGGCGTCGGCGTTTAGGACGTTGACGATGCGCCCGGCAGCAACCTTGACTTTGTGTCAATCGTCAATACATAGATTGGCAGGTCGTCAATACATGACAGAACTCACCTCGCCGCCGCCGACGACCAAGACACGTTTGTTGCGGATCTGCCAGGCCAGGATCAGCGAGCCGCCGCCCTGGATCTCGGGGTAAGGGCCTTTCATGATGCGGTGCGGTTGCGGTGTTGCGGAGACGACGGGGCGCAACGCGGAGATGGGATGGATGACGGCGGAGCGAGCATGCATTACTCCTACTAGCGCGCAGTGGCCATACACTCCACTTCATCACTCCACTCCACTCCACTCCCACGTCGCCCTCAACACCACATGCCCCCCGACGGCGCCTCTCCTCGACACTCGCCATCATGGCCTCGCGCAGGTCCTTGGGCGGCGGCCGCGTGCTGGGGAGCGGGAGAAACCTGTCGCCCGCTGCCGCCACGACTATCACGGCCACGCCCAACCTACTCCTCTCGCCCTCTGAGAGCTCTGTATCGCTGAGCTCCCAGACGTCCAACAGCCCCGCCACCACGGCCGAGCCCAGAGACGACATTGGCAGCAGGGTGCTCGCCGCCGCCAACACGCCCTCGCCGCAAGCCAGTGCCTCGACCAGGCTCATCTGCCCCATCTGCAGCGACGAAATGGTACATCCCCCAGCGCCAACCCACCAAACGCCCAGCTAACCGTCCAGGTCACGCTGCTGCAGCTTAACAGGTACCCGACATGTGCCGCCTCTCTATTCTATCAGCCCTGACGATGTATCACTAGACACCTCGACGACACGCACCAGAACCTGGTTGTCGAGGAGCAGGACGAGGTCAAGAATTGGTTCGAAGCGCAGATGCACAAGGCCAAGAAGTTCCAGCCCCTCGCCGTCCTCAACCAGAAACTCAAAGGCCTCGATGTCTTTGAGTCCAACGACGCCCCCCAGACCCCCCACCACGCTTCCCATTCGGCCTCCAGCTCCACAGCCCATGCCGCCGCCTACGAGCCTGCCCCCGTCCGCCGAGACCCAGACGAGGACGTTACCCGCGCGCACTGGCAGAGACCCGCATACCGCGATGTCTGCGCAGATCCCCTCTGCGCCCGCCCTATTACCGCCTCGCCAATGACCCTCGCCGGAGGCCTACCCGCTGTCAACTGCAGGCAGTGCGGTAGACTGTTCTGCGAAGAGCACACCATGTACCAGATGAAATTGTCGCGACAGGCCAAACATGACCCTGTGAGAGGCATCTGGTGCCGTGTCTGCGAGACGTGCTACAAGTCAAGAGTCGGATACAACGATCACCGCGGCCTTGAGCGCAATCATTTTGATGAGTTCGCAAAGATCAGACAAAAGCATGTAGACAGGGAGCGCATGGAGGTTAGCCGTCTGGAGAAGCGCCTGACCAAACTCACGCAGCTCCTCGCAAACCCGCCGCCCATGGACGACACTCCTGTCTCAGGCAGCTGGTTCTCGCTGCCCAGCGCCAAGAATCAGCGCAAAGCCCTCGAACAGTCCATCATCACCTGGGAAGAAGACGCAAAAGTCTCAAACTGCCCCTTTTGCCAGCAGGAGTTTTCGACATATACATTTAGACGATCGCACTGTCGCATGTGCGGTCGTGTCGTCTGTAGCGATCCCAAGACTGCATGTTCAACACAGGTTGGCTTGAACGTTGCCTCGTCTAGTGCCCAAAGCACGGAAAAAGAGGCAGGGCAGGTCAACGTTGATGTGCGCATGTGCAAGGACTGTCAACACACTTTGTTTGCTAGAAGTGACTTTGAGCGGGAACTCGCCAACAAGCCCAAGGATCAGCGCGCATACGAGAACCTTGCCCAGTTCGAAAGAGGAATTCGGCTGCTTCTCCCTCGTTTCCATAAACTTCTACAAGCGCTACAGGATCCAGACAAGTCACCTACGCCCCAACAACTGACCGATGCCACAAAGGTCCGCAAAAGACTTATGGACGGATTTGCTCAGTTTGATGTTGCCGCCAAACGGATACGCGACCTGCCGACCAACTCACCCACGCAGCAAAAACTTCAAAAGGCCGTATACCAACAAGCCTACAGCTTCCTGAGTCTGCACATGCTACCCCTGAGGTCGCTTCCCAAGATCCTCAAGCACGCTGCTCCTCAAGGACGTCCAAATGGAGGCAGCGCCTTGGCCTCGATCAAGTACAACGACCGCTCTACCGGTAGCGTCGTTAGCAGTAGCGAAGTGTCAGCCATAGAGTCAGAAGAGAAGGAACTCAGAGAACGACTAATTGTACTTGAAGAACAAAAGTTCATGGTATCAGAGATGGTCTCGGACGCTACCAAACATCGCAGATTTGACGAAGTGTCAAGCCTGGTGCAAAACTTGGACGATTTGAACAAGGAAATTGACCAAATCAACGGACAACTAGGCCAGCTTGACTTTGCTGGCGCTTACCAAGCGGGAATAGCCAACTTGCAACCGGGATGAGGACATTTGAACATACTCAGGTTCAAACATTTCTTGTTAACGACGAAGGGGCTTGGTGTCGACGACCCAAAGATCCCTCGTTATCGACGAGCCAGAGCTCGGACCATGGTCTTGATCAAGCAACCTTCGTCAGGTCATATTGACCCACCACCCTTGAGCCAGCTCGCCACCAGGCGTTCCAGATCAGCCTTGTGGCATAATCCGCCGCCAGGATGTTGGTTCCGTGGAGATTCGCTCATCAAGATACAATCCCCATTAGGAGGAAAGGAAAAAAGAACTGAGAACCACTCGGTTGACGAAAAAGAGACTGGTAAACTGCATCATTGTAAACTAATTTTTTTCGCATAGCATAGCGTGGCTTGGTTATAATAATGAATACATAACTGCCGAGGTATTCGCAATGTTCACTTTGTACCCTGTTTTAAATTTTGGCCGTTTTGTGTTTCACGATGTACGCTTCAGCTCACGCAAAGTTTCATAGTCAAAGATGAAGACTTTCCCATTGGTGATAAGCGGTTGATAGGTTATTGCAGTATATCTGTATTACTTCCACGAGATATATACATCATTTCGCCCAAACCGTCCTCCACATCTCACGGCAGAAGCGTCACGAAGTCAAGTCTGACATTGAAATACGTAACACCCGTTTTATCCGACTTAAGGACGGCCTGAACAGTGCCCTGTGTATTTCTCGCACTGGAGCACCGACATTGCTCTGCTTGCCACGAGCACGATGATACCGTCTTGCATTGATCTGCTTGCCATTTTTCCCACAGTTGACTCACGTCATTGGGAACGACACCGAGTGGTGTCCATTTGTAGACGTAGGTTGCAGCGTGGGCCTGGTGGGCTAGAATGGATGCTGACAGGAGGAGGCTGGAAAGGAAATGCACTGTTGGGTGGGTAGGTGGTTAGATGGTTGTGCAGGAAGATATGGAAATGAGTGATGTGACACGTACTTATGATGGAAGATGAAGAAGGCGCGTATGTAGGGAGTTATAGTAGTTAGGTCTTGTAGTCTTGCTGGAGTTAAAGAGTGAGAGAAGTAGTAGGATGTGCGAGGAAATGGACTATTTATCTACGTACAATTTTTGGAGTAAGCAAACCTCATTTTACACGGGCCATAATTCTGAACAGCAGTTGATGATGATGCTGATCAGGGTTTTTCTTTTCAGCGTAAATGTGGTGATGCTGACAGCTCGTAAACGGCGCCGAAGAGGGTGAAGATCTTTTGCCGTATGCATAGACATATTACCTCATAAAAGCACTGTTGTCAGTGCTGGTTGCTCATACGACGATCTCATCCCCAGTGAACAATGCAGATTCATCTCAACATTGCACAAACATGATGAATAAGAGCGGGAGTCTTTGAAACTTACGAAGGTGCCTTTTTCTATGTATAACAGATGCCACCCGGATTGATTGTAAAAGATAGCGCACGTCTCGATTCAAAAAATAGAGGTAAATGTTCTCTGCATTAAACCAGGCGCTTTGCTTGGTGTGTGAAAAAGTTGCTATCGTCTATGAGATAGCTCCTGCTTGCATGCGCTTGCTAGGCAACCTTGATATTCTCACTTAGCATCCCGTTCATGTAGCTTCATGTGCGACTAGTACAGGAAAACCCTACTTTCCAGGAATTTTGCTAGTATTTATGGGCTTTCACGTCATCTTGATTAGGATCTAGTTTAGACATGTGCAGGCTGTGCAGGGTCTACATTCACAAGACTCTTTCAAGTTCCGACACCGTACTCTTTTCTCCACGCTTGAATTACCTTTGTGATTGTGAAGAACTGCTTTGCCTGTAATGGATTGGTAAAAGTATGAAGCATTGCTCATATAGCTGATGCAAGCCACGAGGAAGATGGTTATAAGACACAAGATTTACACAGTTAGTTGTGGGTTTAGAGCAGACGAGATTACCAGATATACTCTACAAGTATATGGTGTGTGCTGATCGCGTGCTAAACGGGATCGACCAGGGAGTCGTTGTGAATGAGAAACTTGAGGGAAGTAAGTGAATCAAACGAAAATCCCATGGCCAAAAGACGCATTGTCTTCAATATTGACGGTTTATCTTTCAGTGAATCGGAGTGATCCGGCTTACGTGATTACAGTCTTACCACTCTGACCTGTATTACCAGATTACGTACGGAAGGATGACTACGTCCTATAAATAGGAGCATGTCAAACAAGGTTTCCCTATTGTGCTCGAAAGTCTAAAAAGGCTCCTCTACAATCCTATTGCATGTCTTTCACCATGATGTTCAAAGATTACATCTTTTAAATTTAATCAAGATGAATGAAGTTCAAAAGGAGCAGAGGTCATGGAATTCGGTAAGAAGACTTGGAAAACAAGCTAACCACACCAAACCGGCTTCTTTATATACAACAACCTCCACTTGAGCCACCACCAACCAGATACATCTCCCCGTCCTCTTCTCATTTACAGTTGGAGACAAACACAGTGACATACTTGGCTCGAACATCAATAGGCTGGAGACCGGGTTTATTTGGATCAGGCTTGACGGTGAAATGGAAAATTTTGTCTGACAGGGGCTTCGAAATCAGACAAAAGCCGTCATTTGAATTCCATTGAGCACCGAACTTGGTGCAGAGGTCTTGCTGCACTTGCTTCCAGTCTTTACCATACCCTGGGGGGAGGTACGCGAGTTCCTGGAGTCGGTAGGTATAGGTACAAGTTTGAGGTTGTGGAGCAGCAACTACGCCGCTGATGCAAGCTGCTGCTGCGAGGAGACTGGTGAGAAGATGCACTGGTGATATAGTTAGTAACTGAGTCGAAAAGGAAAGAATAGCACATCGTTACTTGTTCAAATCGTTTGTCAAAGTATGTAACAATGGTACGTGAGATGTCTTGAGAGGTACAGGAGTGAAGTAGTGATCAAGTGTGAGGAACATGACGGAGGAATAAGGTGGTTTAAATATTCATCCAAAGGCTGGTGATGGTGAGGCTACACAGTCACAAGAGACCGATCGCCTCAGATGTAAATTTCGATCGTGGAGGTGGGCTGCTGATCTCACAATACACCAAAGTTTAATCTATATACAGGCACATCGACTCCTCTTCCTCCTACACCGCATCTTCCAGAATTCGCATCAACCCACTCCTCCCTTTCAAGGTACTCCAGAAGCACACGAGACATCTAGGTGCGATGTCGATACTCCATCTCACAGCTTGTTTAATCAGTATCATAATTTAGGGTCCTTGGGCTTTTCTTTGAGACTTAGTCGTATGGCTATTATTCTGCGTGAGAATCAAACTCACAAGTTGTTTTTCTCGCGTGCGGATTTGGTCGGAAAGTCACACTTAGCTTTTGGTAGTACAGTAAGCAACTGAAGATCTTAATCCGATATGGCATGGTAATCTTTTAGTTAGTATGAGATTATGGCTAGATAAACTCCTTCCCAGAGCACGTTAAAGCTCTTGTGTTGGTTGCGATACTTTTTTGTACATGAACCTGATTCAGTAGCTGTGTTCAGCCTCTTGTGATTGAATCAACATCATGTGGGAACTTTTGTCGAGTTGTTTGCAACCATATAGGAACAAATCCTGTTCTCTAAGTTGAGTCATCAAGACATCAGCTCGTGTACTATCCGGAGTAAGTACCGCTGACTCAGGCATGGAACAGCGGTAAGTATATTTCGTCATTGTGGCTTGTAATGTAAGATTGAGAAGCACTGTAGAATAGTCGCGGGCTCGCTACGGGAAGATGGTATGGCACCCCGACTTTGGCTATGACGTTCAATTGAACTAGGATTTCCTACCCAGAGAAGCAAGTATGGTAGATTCAACTGCCTAACAGCACCTCTGTACATACTGAGGGTGGAAGAGCTTGAGAATATTACGCACTGGCGATAAGATGGTTTGTCGATCGCCTGACACCGTGGTCTTACATCGATCTCGATAAGCTTCAGTCGATCGGATAGAAGAAGCACAGTCTGTAAGCATGTTGTTTTCTGTAACCAATCACATAGTATCGTAAGTTGACAAGCATCCTAATAAAGTTTTCTCGCTCATAGACTCGACGAAGCAAAGAAGTGTGCCAAAGATAGCAACTCTTGCTTCAACTGAACATATGAAAATGTGGCGTATCCGATGAAATCGACCAATTCCACTATGACGACTCGAATCCAACGTTTTCCCCATACCAAGACAATATTCACCATCATCTATCGTCATTCTTCCCCAATCAAGCAATTCCCGTACGCTCGCCGCGCTGGGTATCGAACACAGTGCCAACTTTATTTTTGCTTTTGCTCAGAATCTAGGCCCTTGGGGTTGCCAAGTTTTCCCGGTTTCTTTTTGAGAGGTATGCGCGAATGTACATAAGCGAGTAAAGCGGGTACTAAAAATTGCACTTTCGCAGGGAGTAGCGTCATGGTAGAAAGATGTGGCTAGTGCCTTGGTGGTCATAATGACGACAGTAGTAATGGAGTGTAATCAACATCGCAACGCTTCGATCTTCCAAATAGTGTTTTACTACCTTGTACTCGCACAAATGCGAAATTATCTTCCATATTTGTATCGGTTTCTGAGGTATGATGGAATATTAAAATGTATAAAATATCTCAATGTCATGTCTTGAGTAACATCACTTACTACGTAAATGGGACTCTCAAAGCAACTTCTTTTTCTGATAATCAAAGAAGTATGGTCTGAAGAAGATATACAGATCTGAAAACACCATCTTAAGATCGACACTGAGATTTCTTAATTAGTACAGCATCATCTCGTTAATTCAACGGCCGATATACATAACCAAACTATAAGCTCGATGTGTAAATTTAGAAGATCCGACCAGAACATTGGAGTTGCGAGATGCGAAAGCTTGCGCATTGTGTACTGCGCCGCTCAGTCGTGGCAATGCGCAATGCGTTTGTTTGTTTCGAGGTCCAGGCTTATTTTTATCATCGCCGTGATGTTTGTAGTGGTACGTACATTCAGGCAGGTTGGCTTGGCTCCCCGCAATCATCCCCATACGCAGGCATTTACATGGCACACATTCTCCACAGGAAGGCTTGTCACTTAGTGTAAATATAACAGATTCGCCGGCTAATAGACCGACTAGATATGTTAATTTATGCGACTTTACCAAAAGTTCTTTCAGGGCATGAAACAGATGATTTCTAAGCCCGTTCTAGCCTTGTATTTTTGGGCGGGGCGGAGCAGCGTTGGCGTGGGCCCAGCGAAACTGAGCGTGACATCACCAACATCTCTCCACCATTTTGCACTCATTTCATTTTTGTTCTCTCTCTACAGGATTTCGAGATCAGAGGAAAACATCATGCACTTTTGTCTCCGTGCGCAAACTGCACGGGCGCACCAACAGGTTTGGTTGCCGCGCCAGTCAGCATTTGCTACGAACAAACCTGCTGGCCAACAGACATCATGACCGAGTGCGCTCAATTGCGAATCTACTTGACACGATTACCTCCGCAGCGCCACACATACAAGGCTGCTATTAAACCTGAACACATAGTTTACTAATTTGTTTCAAGACACGCGATGGGATCTTTCTTCTAGGCGGCATTGTCGAAGCAAGCTTCTTCATTTGGACATTCATGCAGTGACCCACTCCAAGACCGCCCAGATTGCACACCTCCCGCTCAGCCAACACGGCAGCACACCTTTCAAGACAAGCTCGACGCGAGACTGACGAATTTTAGGGAGGTGTTGAGGCGAGTAGACAAGACTGATATTTGGCACCAACTACGATGCACGGCCTGAAGCCGTCAGCACTTGGTGAGATACAAACGGGCCTACTGAGAGTCAATATCTGACCAAGTCGCGTTGCGATCTTAATGGCGATTGCACACAAGAGACGTATCACACCATGTTCACAGAAGTGGCGAATGTACAGATGCACAAGTAGTTGGATATCAGGCGCAGAATGCTGGATGTGGTGTAGCCTGCACAGACGCGAATCCTGCAGCCCTTTGCATGAAGGGCGGAGATAAAGTCTTTTTGGCAACGGCAGCAAATACAATAGGGCCCTAATTATCCCGTGACGAGCGGGCCGCGTCTTTGTTTCTCACCAATACTCATGCGACGTTGATGGCGTTTCAAGGAGTGCAGGACCGAAAAACAAACGCAAGAGACCAATGGGATGACCCTGGTGCCTCGTTTGCCAGGAACATTACGACTGACTCTCCCACGGGTACGGGGGCGGTTTGGTGCTTAGCAGCCAGCAAGTAAGGCCTAGTCTTGCCACAAGGAGATGGCGTAGTTTCAGAAGAGGTTGCGACAGCTTCGCCCTTCCTATACGCCGCTTTGCAGCGCGGCTGTTTGTATTATCTGCGACCACAGGGCCACGGCTGGACAAGAGCCGCGAAACCAAGACAAATAGCACACAGCAAGAGACGTGTGAGACTGGGGATAATTTGTATTGTCTTGAGGCAGATGTGCGGCGACGGAGCAAGTAAACTCTAATGGCGGATATTTGAAGCCCCGCGCCCCCCTGGCGTTGAACCGTGGCGTAGGAGAGACCATGCAACAACCCCCTGGGTAAGATGGAATTGCGCGGCGGACGCGGTAGGTGCTTGATCGGCATAAACACATATGCCCCCCCCTTGGTTGCTTTACTGTTCAAACAACGTTCTCCAACAACGGCTTGATTTTGATTCTTCCAACGGCCGATTAAGCCCCGGTTTCAATTGTACTATACATACATATATTCAGACAGTCTTTCCTTTCAGGCACAAACACACACGCACACACACACTTGCAACAACAAACCACCAGACTTTCTTTTACTTCCATCGCCATGTCTTCCTACCCTCAACTCTCGCCCAGCGGTCTTCCCAGCTCTCCACGAGCCAACCGCCAGATGGAACTCTTGTCTCCCCTCGACACATCATTTCCTCCGTCAGTGTCGCAAACATCATCGCCATACTCGAGCACATCGGAGAAGCAAACACCAAAGAGCGTCGATATCTTCGCCGACGCCACGATTCCTCTAAGTCCAATCTCAACCACCAGCTCGATGAGCAAGGAGAACCCCTACGCGGGCCTCGAGCCGCGAAAGCGCAGCAGTCTCGCGCGACTTTTCTCCTGCCTTGGCCGTGAGGAGCGCGCCAGGCGACGTATGAACCGGAGTCTGGAGTTTGAAAAGGTTGGCGACAAGTGCCATTGGACCGAGTACTAGACAGAGAAGGACAACCGACCCCAACGGTTCCTTCATGGTCAACCCGGCCGTATTTTTGAAACAACGACGACACGGCGGAATTGCAATTCACCGAGCTACACACGCAAGACAACTGTGGCAGCCAGGATGCGCATCCCATTCAAGCGACTGCCGCGCTAGAGGCCAAGCAAACGTCGGATGCGAGTTTCCATTTTGCCCATACTCACACCAAACACATAGCGTGCAGCTGAGCTGTACACTTGATACCGTCACTGCGACGCTTTTCCTTTGTTCATACCTGTATAAACCTTTGACCCAAACCGGAGTTTGCCTGTTCCGGGTTTCGCTAGTTTGAGCTTCTTTTTTCTTTTTGTATATCTGCTTAACACGCATGACGTGTCTTGTCCAGCGTTGGTGTTGGAAGGAAAAACCTTTTGATTTGTACATATACCTTTTTGAGCGTGGGAGGTGAGGAGAGTTGTCTGCGCTAGGTTTGTCGCAACCACTTGGTGGTGGCAGTGCGACAAGAGCAGCCAGGAATGGAGGATTCAGAGAAAATGGATAAGATTTATCCCGTCCACTATCATTCACTTGCTCCCAATTCTGTGACTGGCCATGGGTGCGAGGTGTTGTACTACGTGGATAGTCTTGCGGTTTAAAGACAGTTACGCGCAGCATATCACGTGATGCACATGTGAGCGTTTCCTATGAAGGCATCTCGTAATTTGGGGGATTGGGGTCACGTGCAAGCCTGATGCCAACAGAGGGAACGCGACCGTGCACAGCCTTAAATCGAGGGGTAGCCCTCTTTTTCGTATACACGCAGTAGATGCGTCGTACGAGCATAGAGTATACATACATACGTACTGTGTAAGCTCGGCCAGAAGTCCATGATCCTCGGCTTCTCCGACACTGCCGGCGTGTTGCGTCCGTGCGACTGTCTCGTCGTGGGGAAGTCCAAGGTCGAATGTGGATGTACTACTTGCACCGGACGGATGGCTGGCTGCCCACCACGCTGACCAAATAATGGCATATAGGCTGATGGGCTTGATCCCGTGCAGTGCAACCACAGGCACTTATCGGTTACAGGAAAAATCACAGGACAGTCGGTCCAACGGCATCAGATGTCAAGTGTGGCTCCCTACGTCACGCTGTGGTTGCCGGGTAGGCTTAGCCTGTTTGGACTCAACCTCGGCCCAACCCCCAGGCGCTCTCTTCACAGCAACGACCCTAGTAAAGTCAGCCAGCGCGTGCTCTTTTCGCCTCGGATCTGCTGAAGCTAGGACTCGGTCTCATCCTGCCGTCATTTTATCTGTCGCCTACCCTCTACTTCTCTCTACTCTTTCTTTGTGATGTTCAGCAGAGCTGCCCGCGCGCGAGTACCCTCCTCGATACTTCGCAAACCAATATTCAACCAGCAAGCATTTGCCAAGCCCAGGGTATGTTAGCGAGCAGAAATTCACCTTTGGTGGGGGAGACGAGAGAAGGAGAGAGACTGTGTGTACTGATGTTGACATATGTGTAGATTATCGCAATGGCTCCAGCAAGGAAACAGTCGAGTCTGCCAGCTGGTAAGTAGTCCGTATATGTTTGTTTGTACGAATGCTGCTTTCACATGCTCTCCCCCGCGTAAATTGTTCCCAAACTGACGACTTCATCTGCGCAGGCTACAAGGAGGACCACTCCAAGGGCCCTATGCTGCGCTTCGAGGAATCTCTCCCCCGCCTTCCCGTCCCCACGCTAGAAGAGACCGCCAAGCGGTACCTCAAGTCCGTTCACCCGCTTCTTTCCCAGAGCGAATACGAAGCGACCACAAAGGCTGTCAATGAATTCGTAGCCCCCGGCGGGCCCGGTGAGAAGCTGCAAGAGCGCCTGGTCGCACGGCGCGAGGACCCAAAGCATAAGAACTGGATTTACGAGTGGTGGAATGAGGCCGCTTACATGGCCTACCGTGATCCAGTTGTCCCATATGTCAGCTACTTTTACTCACACCGCGACGACAAGTCGAGGAGAAACCCGACCAAGCGCGCTGCCGCCATGACCACCGCCGTGCTGGAATTCAAGAAGATGGTCGACGAGGGCACTCTGGAGCCCGAGTACATGAAGAAGCTTCCCATTGCCATGAGCTCCTACGAGCACATGTTCAACTGCTGCCGTGTGCCAAAGAAGCCGGCGGACACAACCGTCAAGTTCCCATACCAGGAACACAAGCACATCATCGTCATTAGGAAAAATCAGTTCTGGAAGCTTGCACACGAGGTCAATGGCAAGCAGCTAAACACTGCTGAGCTCCAAAAACAGTTCGACTACATTTACTCAAAGGCCGAGAAGTCGCCCGCCGTTGGTGCCCTCACATCGCAGAACCGTGATGTGTGGTCAGACGTCTACCCTAAGCTCAAGGCCCATTCGCCCGTCAATGCCGCTACTTTGGAAGAAATTGAATCTGCTTCGTTTGTCGTCTGCCTTGACGACGCTTCCCCAGTTACTCTCGAAGAGCGTGCACACCAGTACTGGCATGGCGACGGCGCCAACCGCTGGTACGACAAGCCCCTCCAATTCATCATCAACGAGAATGGCACCTCTGGCTTCATGGGCGAGCACTCAATGATGGACGGAACCCCCACCCACCGCCTCAACGACTACGCAAACCAGCAAATCTTCTCAAACGCTCTTCCCTTTGATGACCCCAACATCCGCTCCGACCTCCCCAGCCCCAAGCCTCTGCGCTTCGAGCTCAGCAGGGAGCTCCAGCAAGACATTGTAGACGCACAATCCCACTTCTCGCGTCAAATCGGCGCACACGAGTTGAGGGTGCAGGCCTACCAAGGCTACGGCAAGGGCCTCATCAAGAAGTTCAAGTGCAGCCCAGACGCCTACGTCCAAATGATCATCCAACTCGCATACCACAAGTTCTACGGCAAGAACCGTCCCACATACGAGTCGGCAGCAACCCGGCGCTTCCAGCAAGGCCGCACAGAGACGTGCCGCTCCGTCTCGGACGAGAGCGTCGCCTTCTGCAACGCCATGGCGGATGCAAACGCCACGCCCGAAGAGTGCCAGCAGAAGCTGCGTGCAGCCCTCGACGCCCACGTCAAGTACATTTCCGACGCCAGCGACGGACGCGGTGTCGACCGCCACCTGTTTGGCCTCAAGAAGTGTCTCAAGGAGGGCGAAGAGCTACCGGCTCTGTACAAGGACCCTGCCTTTACCTACAGCTCCACCTGGTACATTTCCAGCTCGCAGCTGTCGAGCGAGTACTTTAACGGATACGGATGGAGCCAGGTCATTGACGATGGATGGGGTCTTGCCTATATGATCAACGAGAACTCGATTCAATTCAACGTTTGCTCAAAGGGACTTGGTTCGGTAAGTTGGTTTTTCTTCTTCTTCTTCTTCTTCTCCCTCCCCTTTTCCTTCCCCTCAATGTTCCTTTCCCAATTCGGAAATACTCGTTTCTTGAGTTTTAGTAAGAAGATTTCACTAACATATGTTGCTTTTACAGGAGAAGATGAGCTTCTATCTCAACGAGGCGGCAGGCGACATGAGGGATATCATGATGCCCACACTCGAGAAGGCAAAGGCAAAGTTGTAGACAGGCAGCAGATTAGAGACGAGGCTTCTTGTTGGCATCAATATATGTAGACCACTTGTATAGACGGCAATTGCCTTTTTCTTCATCAAACCAAAAAACTGATCTTCGTCCTTGTTCGCTTCTTCTCTTTTTTTCCACTTCCCAAATTTCATCGCGTTGTGACATCTTCCACACAGACCCACCGGATCACCAAGGTCACCACAATGCACCACAGTCAAAACAATCAAGAGGAGATTTTTTCTTTTGGCATGTTTGGATACAGATCAAAATCTATACAATCCCAATCCGCTTAAATAGCTCGTCCAAAAGCTCATGTCATTACTAGTATACATTCATCGTCCGCGTCTCAAACACCCAATTTATGGGTTCTGCTTAACCCAGTCAACACCCTTCTTGATGTTCTTGGCGAGGTCAGTGACGCAAGCATCGAGGAGCTTCTGCTCGTAGTCGGTGATCTTGCCAACGGGGTGGATCTTCTCAACACCGTTGGGGCCGAGCTCGACGTTGGAGGCGAAGTAGTCGCAGCCCTGCTCCTTGAACAGAGGCGAGTCGACAAAGGTGGGCTCGATGACGTTCTTCTGGCCTTGGGCAGCCTTGAGGAGCGACTCGGCGAAACGGGCACCAGCCATGGCCATGGAGAGAGTGGCAGAGCCAGCACCGTCCTTGGCCTGGACGACCTCGTCGCCACCGAACTGGACGCGCCTGACGTAATCATCGAGCTTCTGGCCCTCGAGGTTGTAGCCGGACTGCGACAGGAGGGGAACGATGGTAGCACCAGAGTGGCCTCCAATCACGGTGATGTTCTCGGTGGCGGGGTCGGTGTTCTTCAGCTGCGAGATGAAGCGCGAGGCACGAACAACGTCGAGGGTGGTGACACCAAAGAGGCGCTTGGGGTTGTAGACGCCCTTGGCCTTGAAGACCTCGGCAGTGATGGGGACGGTGGAGTTGACCTGTAAAGAATAAGCATGATGTTTGAATAGCAAATTATCCGACTCTACATACGGGGTTGGAGATGATAAGGATGTTGGCATCGGGAGCGTGGTCAGCGGCGGCCTTGGCGAGGTCACGGACAATGGAGGCGTTGGTGTTGAACAAGTCTGTGTCGCTATTAGCTGTGCCACGGGCGTCTGTTGCTTCCAATGCTTACCATCACGGGTCATGCCGGGCTTGCGGGGAACACCAGCGGGGATGAGAACAATCTCAGCGCCCTTGAGGGCCTCGGCGAGGCCGGAGGGGGTGGCATCGTGTCCAGTGACCTTTTTTTTTACACATCAGCTCATTGTTCGTACCAGGGGCCAGAATGCATCTGTCGTACCTCGCTCTTGGTGTTGATGTGGCCAATGTCGGCAGCGACACCTGTGCAGCATTATTTAGCAAGCGCCCGATGCTCAATGGATTGGCAAAGGAAGTAGAAGCGTACCGGGAGCAAGGCGGATATCGTAGAGGGCGAGCTTGCTAACCCTGGGGTTGAGCTTCAGCAGCAGCGACAATGGCTGGCCAATGCCACCAGCGGCACCGAGGACGGTGACCTTTGAGTTCTGTAGCAGGCTCAATTAGTATTGCAGTGGAAAGGAGTGCCAATTGCGCGCGTCGAGGGCATGGCGAGCGCCCCACTATGAAAAGCAGTGGCAGCCAAGCCCGGGAACAATCGTACCTGGCGGGCCGAGGCGGAGAAGCAGCGGCGCTGGGCCTGGAAGAAAGCTTGCCTAGCAGCGAACATGATGAATGTAATGGACGATGGTAGAGATTGGAGACTGGGTTGGACGGAGCGAGGGAAAGAAAGAGGATTGGCGGAGAGGTGGGAAGCTGCGGGAGGTTTTGCGAAACTTGGACGTCAGTGCTTCTTCGGTTGGTCGTCGGAGCTACGGCTGACATGCGCCTGCGCCTGCGCCTTCACCTGCACCCCTCCTCTCCCGCCTGCCTCGGACCATTGGCTTTTACCGACATCCTGCACCCGGGTGAGATCAGACGATACCTCTTTATCAGATGGGTTTTAACATGTACTTGGTATTCTGCTGAGCCTCATTCCTACAACAATTGGCTAACGCAGCTGGACCTGCCACAACGCCCGTCGTCCCATTGCTGGATTGCGTCATGCGCACAGACGCTTTTGGCACATCTGCTGAGAGAAAAAAAAAGGTACACAGTATACGCGAATCAAGTGCAGCCTGTGCTGTGATCCGTCCATATCCTACATAATCCGAGGAAATAGGATTGCCTCCAACATGTGTAATTCCAAGACAAGCTCCAGTGGGGCGTGTCCCGACAGTTTCGACAACTCTCCTCAGCAGGGACTAGAATGCCTCACCCAATGGACAGGGCCATTCAGGCTGTTTGACCTTCCTCGGGAACTTCGGGACAAGATATACTACCAATATCTATATCGTCCAGGACGTATTTACTACGCTGCTCATACCGACAAGTACTTTTGGGAAAGCCATACCAAAAGCGATGGTTTCGCAAATTTGTTGACAGTGTCCAAACAAGTTTACCATGAGGCATTCAACGTCTTCTGTGAAGCCAATACCGTTGCGCTATCTGTACATTATAATTCTCGCGAAGGCTACAGCAAGCCCCTCACTGGGCTCCTTCGTCTGTTTCCCGAACGAGCTGCAGCGAGTCTGACTGGAGTGAGCAAAACATATCGCGACGTTATTACGCGGCGAATGGGACAATGGGGCTATGCACCCAGCCACGAGGGTATTGCCCAGGGTGGTGATGGAACTGGCCATTATCACAAGCACAACTCCGCCGGGGAGACGTTTATAGAAATCTTGAGAGACGCGCACACTCTGAGGCAGTTCTTCCCGAAGCTGACTATTTTTGAGGCGGATTGGTATCCGGAGCCGCCGTTCCATGAGTATCCGGAACAGTTGGGTCAAGTGCGTAAGATTGCACGTTTGTGGAAGGAAGGTGTAGAAGAAGGGAAAATAAGAGACATATGGCTGGACACGATGAAAGGATGGTTGCACGGGAAAAACGTGGTACCACTGAGTTGTGTCACGTTTTCTCTCAATGGTTTTGCTGCGGATGGCTTTGATAATGACTTGGACGTGTTGTTCAATGAAGCATATATAGCACTGGTGAAGCAGTGGACGACTAGAGATGACATCGAGGATAGCGGGAGAGCGTGGCTGGAGGCGATGGACAAGGAGAAGACGACTAGAAAGAAGAAGGGTAGGAAGACACGGGAAGAGAGCGCATAGGTTGGTATGTGGGGCTGGCCAACGGCGAGCTAGTAGTGCAGTTATTCCCGTTATACTAGAGGCAGTTGGGTATTTGGCCAATCGTGGTTCTCGTCACGTCCATGGCTCGATGGCTCTGCACCCCGCGGTGATAACCCAATCTCTTATCCTCAACATGACGCCGCAACCGATGCAGGGACTTGTCGATCCGGCCCTGGCCGTGATAACCCTGACCCTGACCCTTATCTAGACCTCGACACTTGTGGTAGAGCCATAACTCACGACTTCACGTGTCTGACATGACCAGATGGCTTGTCGCCTCAACGGGGTCTGTACATGGTACTATGGCGGGGTTCACGTGACCTGGACACCAAGAATGGTGATGCAACGTCGAAGCGGTGCACGAGCGAACGGCATGGGCCCTGATGGAAAAACATGCTCATATGCATCACTCTTCGATCCGACTTCCATCTTGACAAGACGACAGGTGGCGCGCAGGTACGCTACTGTAGGTTGGGGGCTTCCGGTGAGAATAGTAGTGGGGCGATTAATAGCTAGGAGGGTACTATGGATGTACTCATGTATGAACATGTGTGCGTGTATGGATAGATGGACTTTATAGCGGTAACGATTACATGTGCCTTGTGCCCAAAAGATGCGAGTGCAGGGGTGGTAGTCTGCTTGGCATGGGTGTATGGTGCATGTGAGGCCAAAAGGACGAGGACAAGGACAGATGATCGAGTGGCATCGACACCCGTATTTGACTCCAGGAGTAGTACTTGTCATTCGAAACGTGGGCTTGCTCGAGAGTCCGAACAATGTCCTCGGTCGCCCGAGCAGAGTTCGAGTAAACGCCGTAAGTCTTCGCAGCGGCCGGTTTCCCGTCGGACAGGGCCAAAAGGGGAGGTCGGGAAAGATGGGTGGACTACGGGGCGATGCCGCCCAGCCGCGCCTGGAACGACATCACAGTGCAGCTGTAGGCCCTGTCCATGCCCTGTCCATGCCCTGTCCCCCCTTCTCCGCACCGCTGCACCCATTCACCCTGACGGATCCGCCCGGCACCCGACCAGGGCTGAAGCCGCAGTCCTCCAGCTCACTGCCAAAAAGGCCCACTTGCCAACCGTGCAACTTTTCCACCGCCAGCATAAAGCCGTGCTCGTGCTCCCCGACTCTCCCCAAAAGAAGGCCGCGAGTCAAATTTCCACCCTTGGCCCCTGCACGTCTAGAGGGCAGAGTACGCAATTTTCTCCTTGGATTCCGAAATCCTGACACACAATTCAATCCTTTTTTTCTTCTTCTTTACCGCTTGGTTTGATTCAACAGACCTCAGTACCTGCGCTAAGTATATATGCTCTTGGACACAGCTGGTCCCAAGTCTTCCCAAGCGACAAATTTTGCATAGCGACATATTCCTATTCCTGTCCTTGACCATTTATATACAACCCGCCCAAACATACATACCAAAGCGACACTTCCTGAGCGACACTCTTGCCCACCAGCATCCCATCCATCATCCTTTGCCACCCCAGCGCAGCGACACCGACTCATTCCTTGCGACAAATAGAGTCCTCGACCCAAACACCCTGATACCCAGCAACACCCATCCGTCGCCATGTCGTGCTCACAGCCCTTTCGATTCCTGGACCTGCCTGGCGAAATCCGTAACAGCATCTACGACTTGCTGCTCTGCTCATGGGATGATGAAGTCGAATATGACCCAAGCATGATTTGCAGCAGCCTGAGCAGGCGCGTCGCAAGCAGCCCATCCACCGGCCTCCTTCGCGCCAACCGCCAAATCCATGCCGAAGCCTCCGACTACATGATCAGACGCAACCAGTTTGTGCGCGTCACCTGCCGAGGTCTGGATGTGCGCAACCTCTTCCTCAGCGAAGGGATTCCCGTCATCACGACAAAGGCACGCAGCATCAGCCTGTTTGCCGGTCACGTCATGCACGTGACGCTCTCCAAGCCTGCCTTTGTGCCCTCGGCCTTCCAATTTTCCGAATATGAGATCATGCTGCTCCGGTCCGATTTGCCCCAGTTTTGCCAGCAGCTCGACATTGAGAGCGTCATGTCTGATGCCAACCCAACGACAAGCGAGCATGCGTCCATCCAGGCGTGCATCCGACTCAACTACGCCCAAACCCGTTTCCTTGCCCCCAATGCACAGGAGCGTCTCTTGCAGCCTATTGCATCGTCTTTGCGTGGCGTGCCCAACCTCAAGATTGTCGGTCCTGTCGATAGTGCCGTGGCCGAGGTAGTCAAGGGCGAGGTGGCAAGGCCCCGTTGGACCGAGCCTACGGCGACGATTGAAGAGATTGATACTGGCGTGGACGTGGGCAAGCGGCAGTGGCAGCAAAACAACTTTTACTCTGCCTCGCAGTCATGGGCATATGCGATGCGCACGCTGGAGCGCATGCGCCACAGCTCGTCATGGCAGGGTCTTCAAAAGACAGGTGGGGAAGGGTTTGTGAACAAGATTGCCGATCTTTACTTCACACTGAACCTGCTGCATGCACAGTTTCTGCAGGTGGACATGGCCAACGACGAGTCCCAGGGCATTGTGGTGCAGCGCAACGGGCGCGTTGCGATTCAGCATCTGCGCAAGTGCGAGACGACGAGTGCGCGGTTTGCGCAACACGCAGGCGCTACATGGAGACCGAGTAATGCACAGGCGGCCAAGATGTTGTTTCGCCAGGCAAGATGCCTGAGGCTGATGAGCGACACGGCTAGCAGCGTCAAGGCTGTTGCTCTAATTGAACAAGCTGCAGCGCTGGCCCCTACAGACATGGCCATCCGCGACGAAAAGGAGGCCGTGTTGAAGTGGGAGGCCGAGGTGGAACAAGGCCGCCGGCTGCTAGATGAACAAGCCCAAGCCGATGCCGGGCAGAACCAGAGACCGTCCATCTGGCAATCCATTCTGAGCGCCGTGGTAGAGCTGGCCTCTTGAAAAGCATCATGTTGAAAAGGAAGGATAAAAGTCGTGTTGTTTTGTAAGCGTTTGTAGCGTTGATACCCATGTGTTTAAGAAGATTGTTCAAATGAACAAGGCACGTCAAAGTAAAATGTACAGGCTTTTAATGTCAAGCTATCGTTGCATATTCAATTGTATTGTTCCCATGTAGTGGTTCGTGTACTATGCACAAGGAGGTATAACGGACTAGCCGCTATAGCGCACGTGACTTGATATGCGAAGTAGTGTACTTGGTTGTGTGCAGTGTAACCAGCCAGCTTGACCAAGAACATGCACAGCCATGGATGTACGTACTTATGCGCATGCTGTCGTCTGGTCGGGGCGAGGGCTGCTCAGCTCTTCGTCTTTGCATCGTCGCATCTTGCCCTCTTTGTCCACATATATGCCGCCATGTCCCCATGTCCCCATGCCCCCATCTTCCCATGGCCGTAGCGATAACCTCCGAACAAGCCGGCTTGCGGCCTTGGCTGCTGCGAGGGCCCTGCCGTGGTCCTGTCGCCCGCCTGCTCGACGACTCGACGACTTGGACTTCGCGCTCCTTGGCAGCTTGCGACGCTCGTTGCTCAAAACATCCAAGCACTCCCGCCCACATTCCACGCCCTCAACCCTTTCTGCCAAATCCTCCATGGCCGCCTGCACTCTTGCCAGCGCCCTCGCCCGATAACACCCACCCCTCCCCCAACGCCCCGGGCTCACCCTCCCATCGACGGTCGCTTCAGCCGCAGCAGATAGATATCCACCGCGAGCCCTCGCAAATTTAGCGAGCCAGGACTCCCCCCCCCGGGAGCCAGACCACGCAACTCGTCCAGACCGCCCTTGTTCCCTCGACCCAGCGGGCCAGCTATCAGCCTCTGCTCTGCGCTGCTCTGTTCTGCGCTACACACGCTCGCCCCGGGCGCTTCTGTCCCCAGCCTGCCAAGCTCCCTCCAGAGTAGTAGATGCGACGGCGCTCGTCCGCCGACCCCAGCGCCGACCACGACGACGCCCACCCTCAACCTGCCCCCTCTTCGGATCATGACGATAGCCTCAACTGCCACTCCGCGGCATTGCTACTAAACGCCCCGGACTCGGCCCACCCTGCGACTGCCTACCTGCAGCCCAGCATGGCTCACCAGAAGCCTCCCCTCGCCATGCCTGCCCTGGCCAAGGACATGATGCCGCACAGTGCTGCCGACGGACACACCACCACATGCCGCCAGCGACTGCGCAACCCATGGGCCTTTTCGCCCTACACCCTCGTTACCACGCTCGCCGCCTTTGTGGCCATGTTCCTCATGGCCCAGTCCTTTTTGCTGCGCCAGCAAGACGTCAAGGGCTGCGGCATGTCGTACATGCGCCCGTCCTACACCAGGTTTAGCCAATTCGACACCGAGCACACGCGCTTTGCAACAAAGTACTCTCTGTACCTGTACCGCGAAGCCAGCTTGGACCAGGATTCCAGGGCATGTCGTTTCCTTTTCCAGTGCGAAATTCCACTGACAAGCCTCAGGTTCAAGGCGTGCCCGTCCTCTTCATCCCGGGCAATGCTGGCAGCTACAAGCAAGTCCGTTCCCTCGCCGCAGAGGCTGCCTACCACTACCACAATACCGTCCAACACGACCTAGATGCTGGCAAGGCGGGCAAGCGCCCACTGGATTTCTTCTCCGTCGACTTCAACGAGGACATTACTGCCTTCCATGGCCAAACCTTGCTCGACCAGGCCGAATACCTCAATGATGCCGTCACGTATATTCTATCTCTGTACCACACCCCGGATAAATTTCTGCGCGACCCCAACCTGCCGGACCCTACGTCGGTCATTATCGTCGGACACTCGATGGGTGGTGTCGTAGCCCGCACTATGCTCACCATGCCCAATTACCAGGCAAACTCGATCAATACCATCATTACGCTTGCCGCGCCCCATGCCCGGCCCCCGGTCTCGTTTGACGGGGATATTGTTCGCACCTACAAGGGTGTCAATGATTACTGGCGACGCGCGTACGCCCAGAAATGGGCCATTGACAATCCCCTCTGGCACGTTACGCTCATTTCCATCGCCGGAGGTAGTCTTGACACGATGATTTCGTCCGACTACACCAGCATTTCTTCATTGGTCCCTGAGACGCACGGATTTACAGTCTTTTCAACTTCCATGCCCAATGTCTGGACCGGAATCGATCATTTGGCTATTACTTGGTGTGATCAGCACAGAAAGGTCGTCGTGCGCGCCTTGTACGACGTCATCGATGTTTCACGCGCAACCCAAACCGTACCACGTGCTGAGCGTATGCGCGGTTTCAAAAAATGGTTTCTGACAGGGCTTGAGGATGCAGCCGAAAAGACCTTGCCACAAAAGGAAGCCAAGACGCTTCTCACGCTCGAAGCAAACAGCGCCATCATCTCAGAGGGCGAGCGCCTCGTCCTGCGTAGCCTCGGGAAATCCCAGCGTAGCCCCAATGCGCATCTGATGCCAATCCCTCCTCATGCCCAAGGCAAAAAGTTTACGCTGCTCACAAGCGAGCAGTTGGATGCCCCAGGCAGTCACGGTATGCTCGAGGTACTGTTTTGCAGTGTCTTCACTTCTCAACCTGGACATTCCACCACCCTTTTTTCCATGAACATGGATTTTTCGGGCGATAGTTCAGGCGCCACTCGCCTTGCCTGCAAGAATGCCGCATCGGATGCTATTGCTCTTCCTGCATCGACCCGTCACTCAGTGCACCCATTTGAAACAAATCAACGTCCATTTTCCTATCTTCAATACGACATGGAGCATTTGAGCGAACACCAGTTTGTGGCTGTGGTCGACAAAGCTCATGAACCTCATGCTGGATGGGTAGTAGCTGAATTCAGTTCTGCTTTTGATTCCCAAATCGACGTCGACACGGGCCTGCAGCGCCTGCTAACAACTGGCCTTTCATTTCGACTGCCATCCCACCGTTCGTTAGTGACAACCATCAAAGTTCCAGCCTTGAACTCTGCTCTTTTGGCGTACAATATCCATATTGGAAAACAAGCGTGCGACGCTGGAGAGCTCTTTGCTCCGTTACTTCGCCAGTACGTTACTGATGTGCATGAAAGTCGATTCTCGGTCAACGTCAGGGACACTGGCATCAGCCTGCATGGGATAGCGCCGTACATGCCCCCTGCACTGCATGCCAAGCAACCCCAGAACGGCCTGTCATTGCAGATCTGGTCCGACCCTACGTGCGACAGCAGTATTGAAATCAATCTTAGCGTTGATATTTTGGGCAGCCTGGGTAAGCTGTGGATGCGTTACCGCATCGTCTTCGCTGCTTTCCCGATCCTAATCGTAACCCTGGTTCTACGACAACAATTCCGCACCTATGACAACATTGGAGTCTTCATGAGCTTCACTCAAGGACTCAATGAGTGCTTGAAGAGTTCGCTTCCACTCGCTCTTTCCGCGCTCACATTCCTGTCGATCGCTCTGGCCACGGCCCAACATCAATCCAAGAAATGGATGCTCGGTAGCAACCCTAGTACAATGGCTCTCTTCGATGATGCCAATAATGAACTGTTGCTCGGTTCGGACGATACTTTTTTCTGGTTTCTCGTTCCGCTGTTTGGCCTAATGTGTATTGGCATCTGCGTCGCCATCAACTACATTGCAATGATACTCGAGTTGATCTTTGCGTCGCTTTACTCGGTCTTCCTGCCAGCCAAATTGAGGAAAGACGAGGGTGGGAGATCACCATCGGCTTTTGCCGTAACATCGAACCGACGCCGCGTTATTACTACGTGTATCTTGTTGTCGCTCGTCTCGACAGTGATCCCCTATCACTTTGCCTACGTCGTACTCTGTCTCGTACAGCTTGCAACCACTGTTCGCGCCTTTCGATTAGCAAGGGATTCCGGTATCGACTCCAACTACAACTTTTACAACTATGCGCACTCGATATTCATCCTCATGCTCTGGATCCTGCCAATCAACCTTCCGGTCCTGGTAGTCTGGATACGGAATCTCGCTGTTCATTGGCTTACGCCTTTTTCGTCGCATCACAACATCCTGTCCATCATGCCGTTCATCTTACTGGTGGAGACACTAAGCACCGGACGAATGGTCCCCCGGGCTGGGTTTCGAGTCTCCTTTTTCACCAACATACTGCTCTTTTCGATTGGCGCCTACGCAGCGGTGTATGGCGTGACGTATGCGTATGTGCTGCACCATCTCGCCAATATACTCTGCGCATGGCTCGTCGCCATACATTTTGACCCATCGACCTGGCCACCTAAGCGAGCAGTAAGTAGCGCCGTCGCCATTGAAGATAGGAATTCAGACGGCAAGACGAAGAAACGACCATGAATAGCTAGTAGCGGATAGAAACGCAAAAGTTGTTTTTTTTTCTCGATTTTTTTCATCTTTTTCTTCCAAACCAAGAACCCTGCGCTAGTCGCATGTGTGCTTGTCCCTTTCTTTTGTTGCTTTCTCGATATTAAATACCCCCCATATATCATCATCATTTTTCTCTTTCTTTCTTTCTCTAATCGAAACTAAAAGCTTTTCTCCATCTTTCATTCAATTGCATAGGTTCTTGGGTTCATAAGCGAATTGGGCGTTTTCCCCCTCTCTTTTAGGGGTGACTGGAAATCATTGGGAGGGAAGGAAGGGAGCATATTTATGCATTTTATATATCATGTCTGGTTGGATTGGGCCAGGGCTCGTCCAGGGCTGGTTACCACCTTCTTCTTCTTCTTCTTTCTTGTTGTTTCTCGCATCTGGGCGGCGTGATGGAATGCATAATAGACAGACGCAAAAGGGTCTTTTGTTTTGTTTGGCTGTTTGTACTTGGAACCGGGTGAAGTCAGGGGATAGTGTGACATTGGTTGGTTTGTAGTTTGGTGGTGAAGAAATAGAAGCAGATGGGCCTGGTTTGAGATGATGATGACGACGTCGTCGTGTGTGAGTGTGTATATATTGTGTAATGGGCGGTTGAAGGAAGAGGCGAAGAAGAATACAGAGGATATTTCCCCTCATGCTCTCACTTGCTTGCTGATATGATATGCTGCACATCGATTCTACAAGCAAACAGATACAAAACGGTCAATACTAGTATATAATAATTTTTTGTCAAATGCAAGTAATATGGAAACGCCCCATTTTAACAACACTTTCCTTACTTCCTCCTCTTCCCACCCCCACCACCATCACTCTGCCTCGCTCTCTTCTTACCCTCCCTAGCCCAATACTCGTTCTTCTCCCTCTTCTCCCGCTCAGCCCTCTTCTCCGCATTCTCCTCGACCTTCTTCCTATACCCATCTTTGCGCTCATCCTGCTTCTTTCTCCTCCGCTCAACCTTGTCATTGCGAATCGCCACCACCTGACTGAGCAAGCGGCGGGCCTTCTTTTCCTCGCCACCCAGCACCACGGCGCGTTTTTGCATGTACGTGGCACTCTTCTGGGGTTTGGTGACTGCGGCTTGGGATTTGAAGGGGAGGTCTGCGGCGAGTTTGCGAGGCACACGCAACGGGTTGAAGACGCGGGTTTGGCGTTCCACGGGGCGGTAGGCACTGTTTTGTTCAGAGGGGGTGGGCAGGCCGGCTTCGTGGCGGACGGCGCCCGTGAGACGCATGCCGGTCCATGAAGTGGATTCGCCAGGGTGGTCAGTGGGGGAGGCGGGGTG